TAACCATTTTTTTTCAAATCGACAGTGAGAGACAATTCATTTCAGTCAAACTGAAGACTTAGGTGCCAGTGTCAGACACAATTTTGTTAAAGCCCCTCCCTGGCTGTTACCGGGGGCACTAATTTAACTAAACCTTGGGGTTGAACTGGGTTTTCTGGGACCTATCACCAGGTGATCCTCATCCAAATGGTAGCACTTTGTGTAACCGGGTATTCGTCGCTCGGTGTGATGTCCTGGTGGAGGTTGAATGACATCATCCTCACATTTCATTTGATTTTCACAGGCACAGGACCAAAGGAAGTATGGGGTGACCCGACTGCAGAGAAGCTGAAACCTCGACTAAGACTAAAACTAAGATATATCTTTCATGTGTAATATCGGCAAGATGAGTGTATAAAGATTAGCATAACGATTCAGATAGCTACGGTAGCGTAGTGGCTAGACGCTTGCTTGTCTGCTTGAAGGTCTTCGGTTCAAATTCACATGGGGCAGTCTTAGTAGAAATGGATCTTGGCTGAATGCCGCCTTAACGCATGAGCCGACCGAGCATAGGAACCTCATGCCAAACAGTGTATGCCAAGCGATTTGCCATATAAGAAGTTTGTAGCAGTTTCATATTGTGCCATCTAACCTGCGTTAATTTTTACAACACCAGTTTTGTTAAAGTGCAAATTAAAAAAAAAAAATCCTAGTATACGTTTAACATTATCGACCATTGTATTTGTCTAACACCATACGCTTGATGTGCCAATGGGGTAACAGGGTCCTTTGCCAACTTCCGGTCAAAATGAAGGCTAGGCAAGGTCACTGTTTTGAGTCGTGGCAAAGTTTTTGCTTCTGCCAGACGTGGCCGTCGCATTTTTGCTCCAGTTGTAGACTAAAAGGATAGTTTCGTCGCCCAGCTACTGAGTTGAGTGCATGGTATAACCCTGTGAGCTGCGGATTTCATTTGGAATGTTTTTTTTTTACTGTGACCAACGTGGTGTTGTGAATTGTAGATTTAGAAAATAGCGCGTGGCCTGTCGTCGCAATATTGGCGGTGGTGCCCTTATGTGATTTAAATTGATCGCGTGTGCAACTGCTGATTTGTTGGTTACCTCTGCTACCTTCGATAAGTAAGTAAAAGTAAAGATCCCTTTTCACGCCCTAGGCTCATCAGGTATATGGGAAGAGCATCCCATATTTTTACCGACCAATCGGCACTGGGTGGGTAATGTGGTCAGCATTACGCTGGCAGGCTTTACTTCCCCAGGAAGTAATATGCTCTGCTAGGAGCATGTGTTGTTTACATTGCTTTCAGACGAACAGTGAGTTGTGACGACACAACATGAACGAATCTTGAGTTGCTTGCTTTTATTCGTTGAGTCGCCTATTATCGCATACACACATTCTCGCGTCCTCGTGCTCGTCTTGCTTGGCTGAATCTAGCTACCTACACTACATGAATCCGTCAACGTCTCTCGAATCATCCATCTATCCTTCACAAACCCTGGTACCTGACATTAAGACGTGTGGAAAAACATTCAATCCTCCTATCGAAATATAACACTCGTTTCACAATTCATTCATTCTTCTCAAGCGTCCACTCATGCGACCTCGCTCAGTCAGGGCCAAACTTCAACTGTCTTACTTCTGTCTCCCGGTTCACGTCTTCCGTTCACATCTCATGCTTTTCTTTTGTCCCTCACTTTGCTCAACATGAGATACACGAGACCCACTTATCCCGTTTTTCTCTTCTATCACAGGCCCTCCGACCTTGTCCTCCCCATCGGGAACCCTCTGGGATTTACCCGGGAATTCACAACATTACAATCTCCCCCTCCCTTCTAGTAAAAAGGTTATAATTTTAAAGGTTTGGGAATAATTTAATGTAATGATGTGGATTACCTAATAATCATTTTGAGTTTTGGTGGTTACTTTCCTTTTCCTAGGTTTTACATTATTTCCCTTTGTCACATCACCAGTTATTGTATCCAGTAATTACCAAGTGGCTTAATGGGAATCAACCATTCTGGCACTCCCTCTCAAGTGCGGTAGTCCATATAGGCTCTGCGTATTAACCCCATCCCATCCCACAGTCTGTATAAAACAGAACAACAATTCCGGTACTCTCTTTCAAGTACTGAAGTCCATATCGGCTATGGAACAGAAATGTAGAAAACCCGCTAAGTCCCACCCTAACCGTTGGACTTATGGTTACTGTCACTGGTTTCCGTTTCAATTAGAGCTTCATGTTTACCTATTAAGGATTTCGATCCCAATCCCTTGGATTATGTGGTGTTAATTACCCATCATTTTTCTCAAAAAGTATTATTATTCCCTTTCTATATCATAGTAAATACCCTATTACATGTTTTACAATCATTATTTTCACCAAATAGTCTATATAAAAACATATACAATCATTATTACACCTTATTTCAACATGTTGTATCATCATCATTGTCATAATCATCATCATTATCATTGTCGTCATCGTGATCATCGTTATCATCTTCATCATCATCATTGTTGTCGTCGTCATCATCATCATCATTGTCGTTGTCATTATCATCGTTATTACCATCTTCTACTCCTTAAAATCACCATTATCACACACATATTGTTAGTTACGAACAGATGTAACATATATAAAAATCATCAGTTATGCTACATTTACATGTTTCATTCATTCCACCATACTCTTTCCTGTAATTCAGGATTTCCCCAGGTAAAACATACACATATAAACCTTGAATCTATGCTTATAATCTGGACATCACGTCGCGTAGATGGTTTTCAATGCCCTTAATGTGTTCTATCTTGAACTGAAATTAGGATTTTAATAACGCCCATCAGTATACTCTTGCGTTACTAGTTGCATCCGTTGTTAACAATTTTGTCAGGCCTAAGTTGTCAGTCAGAATAATGAATTCCTTTCCTATTAAGTATTTTTGGAATTTTTTAAGGCTGATAACAAGAGCAAGATCCTCTTTTTCGAAAGTACTGTAATTCTGTTGGGTGGAATTAAGTTTCTGTGAAAGATACAGAACCGGAAGAAGAGTACCGGAATGCCTTTGAGCCAACATCGCAGCTATGGTATGACCACTAGTGTCAGTTTGTAGGTAGAAAGTTCTAGATAGATCAGGTTGTCTCAGTATTGGTGGAGTAGCAAACAAGGACTTAATTTTGTGTATGATTTTGTCATGAGTTTCTGTCCAATCATTTTATCTAAACTGGTCTTTCTTCAAAAGTTCAGATAGAGGGGCAGTTAGTTCTGCTAACTTAGGGATGAATTTGCCGTAATAATTTACCAGTCCTAATAGTGCCTGCAGTTGTTTTTTGGTCTTTGGTCTTTCAATCTTTAAAATCTTAGAAACAATTGCCTCGTGAGTCTGAATACTTTCCTGGAACACTGTATGTCCTAAAAATTGAATACGTGTGAAACAAAACTCTGATTTCACTGGATTAACAGTCAGATTTGCCTTTTGAATGTTGCGGAACACTTTTTTCAAGGTGTCTATGTGTTCCTGCAAAGTTTTCGTGTGTATGCAAATATTGTCCATGTATGCTGTTACATTATCAGTACCTGTTAATACTTTTCTTATGAGCTTTGTGTGGATGTTTGATGCGTTTATCAAACCAGAGGGGAACCATAACCACTGTTTTAAACCAAGTGGGTTTGGAAGCTAGTGTATCGGCTAGCGTTCTGGGTCAATAGAATTTGCCAGTAACCTTTGCAAAGATCTAATTTCGTGAAGAATTTTGAATTGTACAAATTCTGGATTATCTCCTCTGTTGAAGGAATGGGTTCTGATTCCAGATGTGTTATGGCGTTTAATTTTCTGTAATCTACGCATAATCTCAAATTGCCATCCTTCTTTTTTACAATTACCATTGGCGATCCCGGACGAGCTCACAACTTGTAATATGCTCTGCTAGGGGCATGTGTTGTTTACATTGCTTTCAGACGAACAGTGAGTTGAAACGACACAACATGAACGAATATTGAGTTGCTTGCTTTTATTCGTTGAGTCGCCAATTATCGCATACTCACATTCTCGCGTCCTGGTGCTCGTCTTGCTTGGCTGAATCTAGCGACCTGGTCGGACTTCTTACACACTACATGAATCCGTTAACGTTTCTCGAATCGTCCATCTCTCCTTCACGAACCCTGGTACCTGCCATTAAGACGTGTGGAAAAACATTCAGTCCTCCTATCGAAATATAACACTCTTTTCACAATTCGTTCATTCTTCTCAAGCGTCCACTCATGCGACCTCTCTCAGTCAGGGCCGAACTTCAACTGTCTTACTTCTGTCTCCCGGTTCACGTCTTCCGTTCACATCTCATGCTTTTCTTGTGTCCCTCACTTAGCTCAACATGAGATACACGAGACCCACTTATCCTGTTTTTCTCTTCCATCACAGGTCCTCCGACCTTGTCCTCCCCATCGGGAACTCTCTGGGATTTACCCAGGAATTCACAACATTACAAGCTATCCTGGTAACCATTTAGACTGGGTCGACCTGCGACGCCCCATACCATGTTAAAAATCCACGAAGCCAGCAGTGGGTTTTGATCACGGTACGTTGGATTACGAGTCGGACTCGCAACGCCTAAGCCACGGACGCCACGCTACCGTCGATGATGAACTGCATTTCTAATGTCGGCCTGTTTTTGTTAGCACTTCTAATGGCTACCGTATGCTTTTAATGCGTGTGTCTAGTGCATATGCTGAGACAGCAGTCTGTCAATCTTTCCACAAAGGAATGTTTGTGTGTTTTTCGTTGGCACAGAAGCAGAACAACTATGGGGTGACCCATTTGCTATGTAGCTGAAACTAACATTGCCATTACAATAAGCCTTTTATGTTTTAACATTTCTCTTTCTTGTCATATGACTAGGGTGACCCTATGTTGAGCTGAAAAAGGGACATCTTACTAATATTTTCAGCCCAAAACGGGACTCCCAGGCAAGATATAGAAAATATGCAAACACGTTCTCTGCAAATATTTCAGCTTTCTCAAGATTGCTAATGGTAACGCTGCCCTAGCACAGTCTCAAATGACACAGTATTACAAGTATATGGCTGCCTCGGTAAGTCTGGTCATCTCAGAAATTCGGCTGATTACTTGGTATTTTGTCTCTGAGAATAATAACTAGACATTTGAAACTGTTACTGTCATTTTCCAGTATATTCCCATTATGTAACAAGTGCGTGCCGTGCCTCAATAAATATTAGTAAAAAAAAAAAAAGGAAAGATCCCTTTTCACGCCTTTCGGCGCATCGGTTATATGGGCAAAGCGTCCCATATTTTTACAGACCATCAGCACTCTGTGGGTAATGTGGTCAGCATTACGCCGGCTGTCTTTACTTTCCCAGGACAGCCCATCCTGGTACCCAATAAATATTATAGTAAATATAAAATTTTGAAATTGGTTCTAGTTAGTATTTATTTATTGTTATTTTGTCTCTATATAAACAAACGGTAATATTAATAATAATAATAATAACAATAATAATAAAGATAATAACTATGAGCCCATTTTGTGGAGTATATAATATTTTCACTACCGATATTTTATGTCATAGTGCTGCAGTTTGGATACTTTTATTCAACTGATATACTTATTTAATTAATTTCGTAGGTATTGAAATCTGAAAAAAGAACATTGTACCATATGTCAGCATATGTATCCGGTATTGTGAGTATCCTTAGTCATATGTATCCGGTATTGTGAGTATCCTTAGTCTTACGTAAACAAGTACATTGAAATCCCTAAGGCCCCAGTTAATAATGTCTACACCCGTTTAAATATCTTTCCGGTAAATATCAAGAGTACACTTTCTTCAAGCAGGTTCTGTGTAAAATTAACTGAACCACTTTTTGCAAAACCTGACGATACTACAGCTGGAAACTGACCCATGGCTAACAAGACTATAACAATAGGATATGGAATTTGAAGAAGTCACAAGGAAAAGCTTGTCATTGCTGGTTAAAAAAAAAAACATGAAAAAATCCTCACCAAAATAGATAATATTAGAAATCTCAGAACACTGATGAGCGGGTAAAGGCCATTTAAAGTTTAAACAAACTGTGATAGGACCGACGTCCTGTAAACGTCCTGCTTCATGATGATGATGATTTGCACAACTTTATGTACACGTTTGTGTGTAAACATTTAAATAATTAATTTATTCCCAACAGATGGATAGGCGCTATCAAAGCATCACCAATTATTTCCCAAAACTGAAAGTGAGGGTGTCCATGACTAGCTTGACCATATGTGACGTAAGTAAACATGACGCCAGCGATTATCGATTAGTTTCTTTTCATGATTTCACTGGTTTCTCGATTGCAAAAAAAATAGGGGGGGGGGGGGGGGGGGGGGGGGGGGGTTGTCCTTTAAATTTTTTATTCATATACTCGCAAACAAAACAAACATAAGGCTAATATAGTCAACAGCAAAAGTAATGTATGATAATATTTCTTCTTCTTTCCAATATTTTTTTAAAAAATCTCCTCATCCTCCTCCTCCGTTTTTTTTTCTCCCCTTTTTCATCCTCCTCCCCCCTTCTTCTGCTTTTTCTTCTTCTTCTTCTTCTTCTTCTTCTTCCTCTTCTTCTTCTTCTTCTTCTTCTTCTTCTTCTTCTTCTTCTTCTTCTTCTTCTTCTTCTTCTTTTTCTGCTTCTTCTTCTGCTTCTTCTTCTTCTTCTTCTTCTTCTTCTTCTTCTTCTTCTTCTTCTTCTTCTTCTTCTTCTTCTTCTTTTTCTTCTTCTTCTTCTTCTTCTTCTTCGTCTTCTTCTTCCTTCTCCTCCTCTTACTCTCCTCTTCCCTACCCTCCTACTCTTTCTTCTTCTGCCACTTCTCCTGTCCCTCCTTTTCTATTTCATTCTTCTTCGTTCTTTAATAAATTGTCGGATGACACGCTGTGTTCTGGTTTACAGTCAGGCTGATATATTTATACCTTTAAACCCAATACATCCGATGACAGCATACCTTCGTTTATTGCTTTTTACGACATACTTGCTTGTGATAGTGGGTGTCCCCCCCCCCCCCCAAAGTAGAGTGTTAGAACCCACTTCTTCCTCTCTAGTTCTGTTCTGCCTTTCAGCGTCAGGTTTTGAAGAGATCGAATGAGAGCCTTGGATTGTGCTACATAGATGCTGGTATTTACGGCCTCGGATAGTTAATCTATCAGTAGCTTGCGTGGTCGACATCTAGGTCTGCTTCCATTATGTCTAAGCGACGAGGCTCTCTGTGATGCACTATCTGGTGGTGGTCGCTATCAACAAAGTGGGATAATACTTCAAATGTGGTGACTGAATATCGCTTCTTCCAGCCTTATATATGTACAGTAGAACCTCGCTTAACGAGCACCTCTCATAACGAGCAATTAGCAAATCGAGCAAAACAAATTGTAAAAAAATGACTTGCTTAACGAGCGACGTTTCGCATAACGAGTGGCGGAGGAATGGGGAAGTCCCGAATTGTGCGCACGTTACATCAGTCTGTGTTTAGCACTTGATGATGATGATGATGATGATAGACAGAATATCTAAAGAAACAAGTTCTGATTCAGACAACATAGACCTTTATAATCACGAGGAAGTACACACATCAGAACTACTATTTGCTGACGACCAGTGATTGTTCTACCACTACACATACAACTGAATGGTTCTGCTCTTAATCAAGTTAGGGAGTTTAAATATCTAGGAAGTATAATCACAGAAGATTGTAGAATTGACAGAGAAATAGAAACCAGATGTCAATTGTCACCATTATTAAGACATCCAAACATAACTATGAGTGCAAAGAGGCAGATTATCAATAGCATATTCATTCCAACATTAAGCTACCAGTGCCAAACATGGACACTATCTAAAGACCATATGCGCAAAATCACCACCTGCGAGATGAGGTGCCTGAGAAAAGCAGCCAACCTAACCATCGAGTAAATAATGAAACTTTCAGGCAACCTAAGGGAACCCCACCTTGTACTTGATTCACCGAGAAACAGCAGATCAAGTGATTTGGCCATCTTGTTAGAATGCAGCAATATCAAATACCATCACAAGCAATACATCTCAGAAGATCAGCTACAAGAGCACCAGGACGGCCGCGGAAAAAATGGATCGACAACATTAAAGACACTCAAAGCCTTCACAGCATGACAATAGCCAGTGGCAGCCAACGTGCACTGGATCGTAAATTATTCATCCCCACAACGTCAAAAGTGGTTTATGATGATGATGACGATGATAAAGAAGCTCTTCACTAAAGTAATCTTAAAGCATTGTTTTCATGTGACTGAAGGGACCAACCTCACTCTCAAAGAGTTTTGGAAAAATCACTTCCACATCGTTGCTTTCCTCAAGATAATCGACAAGGCGTAGGAAGGGGTTACCAAGAGAAGCCTAACTTCTTCTTGGAAGAAGCTTTGGCCGGAGAGCGTTGTCGATTTGTGACTTTGAGCGGTTTAAGACATTACCCGTGGAACCTGTAGTCAACGAGATTGTGTCTTTGGCCTCTATCATGGGATTGTAAATGGATAACAGTGACATCGAAGAGCTTGTGGAAGAGCACAGCCAAGAGCTGACCACCCAAGAGCTTATGGAGTTGCATTGTGTTTCACAGAAAGAAGTTTTGGAGGAAAGTTTGTCAGAGGAGGAGGGGGTAACATAACAACAACATTAAGAGAAATGCTGAAAGCATGGCAAACTGTTGCATCTTACATTGAGAAGCATCACCCTAATAAGGAAGTGGCTATGCGTGTTGCAAATTTTTTTAACAATAATGCTGTGTCGCATTTTCGCCAAATTTTGAAGCGTCAGCAAAAACAAATGTCTCTGGACATCTTTCTAGTAAAAAAAAAAATAATTAGCTATGTATCGTAATTATTTAGACTTTTTTCTTCTGCAAATCGAATTCGCATTCCAGGTGGGTTCGTTTCGCGTTTAAAAAAAATGATAAAGATGATTCACTCTCCTCGACAATATGTATATAATGTTCTTTGAATAAACGTTATACAAAGGATTTTTTGAGGTTTTATTTTTCGACATGGAATGCATTATCGTATTTTACATTAATTTATATGAGAAAAATTGTTTCGCATAACGAGTGTTTCGCTTAACGAGTATGATTCTGGAACGAATTATGCTCGTTAAGCGATGTTCCACTGTAAAACCATAAAACGAAGAACTCTGAATGTGAAGTTGGTTTGCAATGTCCTACAAAAGATAAACAATAAACATTCAATTTTTGTTTATACAAAGAATAGGCTAGAAATGTTGGAATGTGTTTTATTCTCACAGATGATATGTATAAAATATACAAATGTTGTTAACAGGATGCGTCTGAATGTGTCTGGTCCCAAAATAACGTGATCCCGTCAACAGAGAAGATCACCTACACTAACGCTTTGACTCAGTTCCGTGATTTTATTCTTACTGGTAAAGCTCCCAAAGCGGATCACAGCATGTTTATCACTGGGTGAGTAAAGTATGTGGCTTAGAGGTATGTGAAATCATTTAGAGAGTAGTAGTAGAAACTAGTAGTAGTAGCATCAACAGCAGTGGTAGCAGTAGTAGGTGTAGTAGTATTAGTAGTAGTAGTTAGTAGCAGTAGTAGTTAGGAGTAGTAGTAGCTGTAGTAGTAGCAGTAGTAGTGGTGGTTAGTAGTTAGTAGTTGTAGTTGTAGTAGTTAGTAGTTGTAGTTGGTAGTATTAGTTAGCACTAGTAGTTAGCAGTAGGTAGTGGTGGTAGTAGTAGTAGTAGCAGTCAGTAGTAGTTACGAGTAGTAGAATCAGTAGTAGTATGGTAAATAGTATGGCATGTATTTTCACAAACTGAACAGATAACTTATATGCAGAGTTTGGTGTGAGCTCTTAACCTTGTATATTTGTTGTAGAGGTGGGTTGCTCAATCTACTAAAGCCGCTATGTTCTGGCGCCCCTGTACTCCACCTTGTATATTATAGCCTAGAATGTGTGACAGGCCAGTATTATATTGTATGAGACTACTTCTACTAACAACATTGACTGATGCTTCTATCTGAAACGGTAATGCTTTGGTCGGACATGTAAAATAAAGAACCACAAACAAGAGGCACATGCACATAGAGGCATCCCGAGGAGCATTTAATAGTTATATAATAAATGCGATGGCCAATCAGGCCAACGAATGCTCCAAGAACTTGTCAATATCATATGAACAAATATCGCAGCTTTGCTTTAGACAAGCACAGCGCAATTACGCTCACATTGGAAAAAATACACACAATTGTAGCACAAACTTACAAGAAGAAGGGTTATAAGCATGTACGGGAGCCACCCTAGTGTAGCGGCTAGACGCTAGCCTGCGGATCAGAAGGTCATGGGTTCGGGTTCGGGTCCTGACGGAGCCGGACTTGTTCAAAAATGACTTTGGCTCCCAGGTCGACCCAGCCTTGAGTGGGTACTATATAAAGTCCTGGGAAGTAAACGCGGCCAGCGTGATGTTGACCACATCACCCACCGAGTGCTGATTGGTCTATAAAATATAGGTTTAGCCCTATGTGCCCAATCGCCTGAAGGCATAAAAAGGAGTATTTCTTTTATAAGCAAATAATAGCATAGAGTCGGCGTCTGGGGCATAGGCGTTGCAAACGCGCTTTCTAATGCCGGGGTACTGGGTTCGATCCCAGCTGCAGACGGTTTGTCTTGCGTCGATTTCGACAGTGGTATCACAAGCTGGCTGTTGAGTAGCAATGGCAAACTACTGAACGTAAAATTTTATTACAAAAACCACAATGGTTCTGCAACGCTCTGTAAAGGATACGTAAGTATTTTTTTTAACTACCACAGGGCTGGCACGCATTAGCGTGTAGGGTGTTTCCATTCATAATGAAAATACACAGAACACCTACACCAATGTAACTTTAGCTTGGTGTTCTTCAGCAGTGGACGCACATGAAAAGGTTTTCAAAACAGTCGTAGTCACGTAGAGCTTTTTATAGAAATAAATATTGTTTTTATACAAGGAAATTTTAATTTTCCCTATGTAAGGAAACTTATGAGACATCATGGGGGAATCTGAGCACCCATGGACATTTCCGGAGTGCCGTGAAGATAACCTAACTAATACCCATAACTCAGGCATGTCTGACTGCTTCCTCTTGTTCTCGCTTATATTATCCACAGATATCAAATGGCCAAGCCTGATGGAACCACGGGGAATATTGGTATGTCTAATTTTTTTTTTTTCGTAATTTCTTTTTTAAAGACTGGTAAGATTTTTTTAAATGTGTTTACAAACGTCAACTGAGACCATGTCGGTACAGTGAAAGGTGCAAAATGGACAAATGTGGCATGAGTTGATACCAAGCATCAGTACGTCAACTTTACAGGGACTCGGGTGGATATATTATACGGGAGTTGCAGGAGTACGAGGAAAGAAAACACTTGATAGTCTGGCTACAAAAGCGATAGCTACAGGAACACTCGTACTGAACAAAAAGACATTTTGAAGACCATTTATAAAGGAATCCTGATAGAAGACACGAGACTTGATAAAATAATCTATTTTAATAAAAATCCTAATTTTGCGGTGATGTAAGCTAAAAACCCGGAAACTACTGAACCGATTGCTTTCAAATTTGCACACAACGTTGCCTTTGACTCCAAGCGTGATTTTTTGTCAGAAAATCGCACAAACCACGAACGACGTAGCTCCAGCAACGGTCAAATCATTATTTGTTTCGTTGCAGGCCTGGATTTGTTCTTATATGATCGGCCATATTTGACTGCTGAGCTCTTATTGAACTTTGCATTATTATGTAATTTCATTTCCACTATTTGCTTGAGTGTTTGGTAGCGTAGTTGTTAACTATTCATGCAGGTTAACTTTCATGGAGGTGACCCGCGTTCGATTCCCCGCTAGGTGATATAATTTTTTTTAGCCCTTAACTGGGCGGCTAGCACGTTGTGTTGTGGTTTATGGCTAGGCTGCGATATCTACGTCTTTTTCGGTTTTGGGGTTTACAGCTAGCCTGCGACAGCGGCGACGTGATGCTCAATGGTCATGTCACGGGTAATATTCGTTCGCCCTCGAGAGGGCAGTTGGCACGTTGTCTTCAGTCGTTTGTAGTAAAGTTGCAAGTATGTCATCCTTCACTCGGGTGACCGGTGTTCGATTCCCTGCTGGGTGATAATTGTTCTTTTCCCCTAAAAGGGTGGTTGCCACGTTGTGTTGTGGTTTACAGCTAGGCAGCGATATCTGCGCCTTTCGCCCACAGACATCTGATTTCAGTTAAGTCCTAATTAGCCTCCCCGCGACGCTTTTCGATCAAAAACTATTCGGCGATGATAGAAACTGTTAACTAAGACGGCTTACAGTCCAGTTTAGTTTGGGTGGACACAGATGCCAAGGTCAGTTAAAAAAATCGTTCCCTCGGAGAGGGAGAGATGACGGGTACGGGGTATTTTTCTCCCCTTTTAGTGAGTATAGTGTACTTTTCACTGGGTTCCATCACTGGTTACGTGATGAAGTTTTTTTTCTCCCTATGTCCGGGCAAAATCAAAATAAATAGTCCGTGGCGACAGCATACGGCGCTAACTCCTCTTTTCTAAACTGACCTACACAGACTGTAGTGACAGTTTTTGTTGTTCTTGTTGTTGTGATGGTGGTGGTGGTTGTGGTTGCAGTAGTACTGGTACTGGATGGGTGATGTGGTAGCTGTTACAATGGCTACATTTACTTCTTTGTACAAGTTAATGCTACCTATTCCAGTCTGGGTGGACACGGATGCCAAGCTCAATTTAGTTACAATATTTCGTTACGCGGTGACTTTCCCATCCTTCGGAGAAGATGACATGATTGGGGGAGTGGGGGGGGGGGTTATACCAGACACAGTTAGCTAAGAGAGCTTAAAATATTATTTTAAAGTTTTCAGCAGCAGTTGTAGTAGTAGTAGTAGTAGTAGTAGTAGTAGTAGTAGTAGTAGTAGTAGTAGTAGTAGTAGTAGTAGTAGTAGTAGTAGTAGTAGTAGTAGTAATAGTAGTAGTGGTGGTAGCACTAGTAGTAGTAGTAGTGGTAGTAGTAGTAGTAGTAGTAGTAGTAGTAGTAGTAGTAGTAGTGGTAGTAGTAGTAGTAGTAGTAGTAGTAGTAGTAGTAGTAGTAGTAGTAGTAGTAGTAGTAGTAGTAGTAGTAGTAGTAGTAGTAGTAGTAGTAGTAGTAGTAGTAGTAGTAGTAGTAGTAGAAGTAGCAAATATAATAAATGTATAAACAAGTGCTTAAAAACAGAACATTCTTTCATTGTACGTGGTAAAGTAAGGCCACGTAGCCCTCCTCAAAAATTGTATGGTGGAGAGAGGTACCCCTCACCTCATGCTTGCACCTCAAATGTTGTCGGAGTGTGAGCATGGTTGTGGGGGTGGAGGTTTTGGTGGGAACCGTATGTACCTTGGGTGCAAACTTCAACTGCACCAACATGCTGAGAGAAGAAATACAATCTACAATACAATCTGGAAATAACGTATACTATGCCCTTCAACATCTGCTAAAGTCAAAGTGTCTGTCTCACAACACCAAGATCAAAATATATAAAACGTTGATAAGACCGGTCGTTTCATATATCTCTGAAACTTAGAGAACAAATAAAAGAGATTAATCTTTATTACATGTTTTCGGAAACAGTCTTATATATATATATATATGTGTGTGTGTGTGTGTGTGTGTGTGTGTGTGTGTGTGTGTGTGTGTGTGTGTGTGTATTGTTTTGTTGACGTATTTTGTAACACGTCAGTTTTGGTGTATACCTTGAGCTATTTGTTGCAGGTATTTCGTACGTCGGCTCCATGTGCTCTGTCTGGTCGGTATCTATGATCCAAGAGCGATATTCGGGAGCTACATCTGGAGTAGCGGCTCATGAGCTGGGTCACAGGTTAGAGGCATCTTTCTGGGCATCTGTGCTATTATCGTTAAACCGAAGCCTTTCGATAATATGTTAACTATAATCTATTTACTTAAGTATATTTTGACCACAACGTCTAGTTTGAGAATGGAGGTGGAGGCAGTCACTGCAACCTTCCGCTAGCTTGAGAATCAGTGTACAAACGTGTCGTGATTGTAACTGACTCACACAGTATGTTGGGAAAGGTGGAGACAGTCGTGCTTCGTGAAGAGTGGCAAGCATCACTTTTGATATTTTCTACAAGTCGAGAAATAAGCAGGCAGAGAGACTGGCCGGTTCTGCTCCACTTGGTGGGGAACTGATGTACAACAAGCTAGACGTTGTGTCGGCCTTCTGGGAGCAAGTGAACAATGCGGTAGCGCAAATAGATCAATACTGTCCAGGGAGAATGGCGCTGCGAGGAATTACCACGGGATCTGGCCGGCTATCAGCACTCAAGGGAAAAGCGAGACGGATAAATCGTCTGACATTTACTGGTGCCATTGGAATTGGAAACTCCTAACTTGCTGCTGAAGATTGGGACGGGGGCGCTTATATGGGTGTCTCGAGTGCTATGATGTAGATTCTTAGTTCAATATTCATGTACATCTTGCTCGTCAATCACAAATGATGTTAGACCACTGGCATCCAGAAGTATTAAAGATCGATACTTGTGGGTACACAGATGACCAATTAGTCTAGTTTGATAGCTCGTGGGCCGAAACATTTGTCGACGAGAGGTTACTTCTACTGATGATTGGTAGACTCCTGCTGTACATGCTCCCTTGTGAAGTTTCTTCTTACTGATCCTGAAAAGTTAGTGAGCATTGCGGACAGCAGTTGCGAGGTACAATAGAGGCGGGATTTGCTACACTGCTCCTTCTAGTTGGGCTCTGTTACTCTGCTTTTGCAGCCTCTGCTGCCAGGCTGGCCTGGTTCACCATGTCTGAGGACTGTACGCAGTTCAGATCGGCGTGTGCAACAGACTTCTATGTTCCTGTCCTAATGCCAATATTTCCAAGAGCATTAGTTATGTATGTGAACAGTTGATAAGACCAGTTGTTTGTTTTATATGGCTCTGAAACGTGGTACACAACTATAGACATGAAGCCTTATTATAAATGTTCAAAAACAGGGTGTTACGACACATCTTTTGGTCTAGCAAAGAGGCAAACAGCTGGGAATGGAGAGTGAAAAGCAAGAACGAAATTCTTAATCTGTTTAAATCCTTACTAATCACTGGTATCATGAGAGCTAATAGACTGAAATGGCTGAGGAATATTGAGAGGATGTCAGATGACAAAGAGGTAAAATGTGTATATACAAGGGAGCTTAACAGTTGTAGACCACGAGTTCGACCAAGATGACGATGGAGAGATAACGTCCAGACAGACCTGCAAACACTTGGAAGCTAAGGCTTTTTTTTTAAAGTTCAGCTCCGTCAGGACATGTACAGCAGGAGCGCGTCCAGCCGCTACACCGCGGCAGCTCCCCTAACATAGTTAAGAACTACCATTTGACATCGCATGTTGTACTGTATCAGAATGCATAATATCAAAGGTATTATGGTCTTCCATAGCTTGGGCTCCTTTCATGACAACAACAAGGCCTATATCGGTTGCACTAACGCTCATTACGTCATGAATTCGGTTGCCTCGTTCCCTACAGATCAGAATCAAGCTTCCCGGCCATATATTTTTTCCAATTGCTCAGCAAACTCCATCGCTGAATATTTGAAAGAAACCAAGTAAGTGATCCAGTGGCTCTGTTTATTTGCTATACTTTTTCTCAATGTGGCATAAATGATCGAAAAGAAGGAATACAATAATATAGCTGATCCATTAATCATACTTGAACCGAGCAAGAATTCCACTTAAACAAAGCTGATTTGCCGAAAAGTGCAGGTTAAAATACCCCGTGTCGATGTGGAAGGCAACAGGAAACTACGACATTATATTCCCAAGAAAACTCATGAGAAAACACACGAGTGTTACGAATACTTTGGAGTAACTAACAGCGATTGCTTGAAATAAGATACTGAAAGTAGATCTCTATATACAACAATAAGAAAGAGACAAACACTGTTTTTTGGCCAAATAATGAGAAGAAACATTTGAGAACATCATGACAACTGGGAAGATCAGTGGAAAAGGGGGTAGATGCAGACCAAGAGAGATAATGCTGGATAGGCTGAAACGATGGCATGGGTGGATATCATCAAGAGACCTGTTCCATGCAACCAGGGATCGTGATTTGTGGAGACGCATGGGCGTATACGTCAGTTGGCAGGGCACATGATGATGATGATAGGCCAAGAAATCTTCAGCGTCCCATAGCAGAGCTTTCCAAACTATGTGTCGCAATGAATGAGTGTGTCGACTGCAGTATGATGGTGTGTCGTGCGGACTTAAAGCGTTAAACAAAATAATCAGCATCACCTTTAAAATACAGGTAATTACAGTAAATGGTAAATACAGGCAGTAAAGACCGGCTCTTTTAGACACAATAATACACTGCTTCCCATTGTCAGACGTAATTTGTTTGTTGTTTTAATTCCTCACCCTTTGTTGCCGAGGGCCAGAATATAACCCAATCTACAGGTTGAACGGAGTTTCCATGACTTGTCCCCGGATGCTTCTCATCCGAATAGTGGCACTTTGTGTCACCGGGTGTTTATCGCACGGTGTGATATCTGGGTAAGGTTGAACGTCATCATCATTATCATCTTGTTAGACAAGCATAATTTCGTAACACAGTATTCAGTCTACTAGCACACCAGCTGTTTGTAGAATCATGCATGTGCTGTAAAATAGCTGCATAAATAAATTCACGGATATTAACTGAAAGGCATGTATGACAACAGCGAAAAGTTACAGAACAGACAACAACGAAAAGGGATAAACACCAGGATTCAAAACTACTACGTAACAAATACCAAAGAGGGAAAAAAATTTTTTGCCCCAACAAACAGCCAGCTAGACTGTTTGCATAAAACATATTCACGGGTTTATGTTCATTGCTTTGCTTCCGTAGTCATTATCGTCACAATCATCAAGTGCCTTGCCAGCTGTAGTATACGCTCATGCATCTCCAAAGAACTCGGTCTTTATTGTTATTATCAGTTGCACTGATGATATTCTTCCATGCCATTATGTTAAGCCATCCACCATAATTTCTCTTGGTCTACATTTGCCTCTTCTTCCAGTGATCTTTCTAGTAGTCATCATATTTTCCAGTACTACTTTTCTCATCACATGACCAAAAAACTTTGTATACTTCTCATTATTGTATATAATGTTCTACTTTTATTAGCCATTTCCAGGCAATCATTGTTAGTTATTCTGGCAGTTCAAGGTATTCACAACATTTTTCAGTGGTTGAGTAGTACAATAAACAAACACGAAAGGGACACACCTAACTTTTGATACAACTTTAGGCTCTCGCCACCTTGACCGTGGAGGCAATTAAGGGTTATGGAAATAGGGACCACCCAACCGGTTAGACAATAAATGGGCAGACTGAATGTACGTTTGTTCTTCGTCTTGAGCAATTTTCAATTTTCAATGGAATACACTCTGAATGCAAATTTAAACTTTATCTGGAACAACGTTCCTTGTTTTCACCTGAATGCACTTGGACTGAGTGTACGTGTATACTTTGACTGGGGTATGTGCCCGTATGTGATTAAAATTGATGTCGTGGGCAACTGCTGATCTGTTGGCGACTTCTGCTACCATCAATGATGAACTGCAATTCTAATACTGTGATAAACATTCTGTGTGTTTTTCGTTGGCACAGGAGCGGAGCAAAGATGGGGGGACCCGTTTGCTATGAAGCTGAAACTAAGACTACCAGACCAGACTTTGACTGGGGCTGCAATTCGCTTTTCCCTTGCAGAGTGGCAAGCTGTACTACATGGGTAGTAAGAGTACTTTGAATCTTTTCTCCAGGCCATGCCGGCATGGCGGGGAATGAGCAGGCAGATTAGCTGGATCGTGCCACTAGCTGATCAACAGGTACATGACAAGGCAGATGTGGCCAAGGCAAGTAACGAGTTCAGAAGAGAAACTAGATGATTATTGCCTGGAGAGAATGGTGCACCTGGGTGTAACCAGAGGGCCTTGCCGGCTCATCACAGAGGACTGGCAAGACAGACATTTAACCAGATTGTGACCAGTACCATTAGTATTGGAACTCTGCGCTGGCTGCTGAGGAAAGGGACGGAGCGCATATGGGAATGCCCCGAGTGCAGTGATGTCAATTTTTTTACTCAACTTAATATCCCCATGAATGCGTTTAACTTGTAAGTGTGTTTATACTTTGCCTGGAGCAACATTCAATTTTTCCTAGAATGTGCTTAGATTGTAAGTACGATTGTATTTTTGTTTATACTGTGGTGCAACCTTCACTTTTTCTTTGATCGCATTTTCAGAGCATCTTGCACGACCAATCAGCAAAGCTCCCAAACTGCCCCAACGCCCCCTGCAGGACAACACTTTAATGCCGACGCCCAGTGTGCTTTCTATAATGGCGTGGAATCAAGGTTCTGCAGAGTAAGTAAATGTGCTTATATTAATCTATAATATTTTGTGAATTTTTCTTCTTCTTCTTCTTCTTCTTCTTCTTCTTCTTCTTCTTCTTCTTCTTCTTCTTCTTCTTCTTCTTCTTCTTCTTCTTCTTCTTCTTTTTCTTCTTCTTCTTCTTCTTCTTTTTTCTTTTTCTTCTTTTTCTTTTTCTTCTTCTTCTTCTTCTTCTTCTTCTTCTTCTTCTTCTTCTTCTTCTTCTTCTTCTTCTTCTTCTTCTTCTTCTTCTTCTTCTTCTTCTTCTTCTTCTTCTTCTTCTTCTTCTTCTTCTTCTTCTTTCTGCTTCTTCTCATCCTCTTCCTCCTTCTTTCATTTCCAAACCGAGCATAGGCTATCGACCAATTAACGACAAGCGTGTTTTTTTTTAATAAAAACCTATTGGTGATTGGCTGGATTTTGCACGTAAGGTAGAGTGCTTTATTAAAAAAGCCAGTCTCGTGCCACCCCTAATTATTCCTCTGGTGTTATATGTGTGGTTGGTTCAGTGCTACTTTTCTTTGATTTTCTAATGGGACTCGGTAATACAAGAGCGGCTCTGTTGATTTCTCAGGTTTAAACTTATCTCCTATATAGACATTGTGACTTACTTATAATTGTCAATACACGTGTTAAACTGTTTTGTCAGATATTTGTATTAGACCAGTTGTTATTCCTGTAGTACAATCAATATCTAAAGATAGAAAGATTAAGCTGTGCGCATAAGAGGTTAAAGGAACAACGTTTCATAAGGACAGCACATAGTATATAATTTGTATTCAACATCAGGGACAAGAGAAGGATGATTTGGCTGAGACACTATATGAGAAAATGCTGTAAGTGAAAATAAATGACTCGACTAAATGGGAGCTTCCTTCGAAGTCGGATGTGTATCTGCCCGAGCAGCAAGGAATAACTAACTGCACACAAATAAACAAGTTAAACGGATGTACACGCAAAACTCGGACTCTGGCACAAAGCCAAAGTCCAAAAGGACGAACAACCAAGACTTTTAGCCGGAGTTCACAGCCGGTGAACAAAACAGAAGAAGCCTCATTTAAAACCTAGGGGAAAACGTGTCAGTCCTAACAAAATCAGGAAGCTCAGAGATGTAGGTCATTAACACACACTGTAACAAACAGTAAGAGGTATTTGATGACGCTATTTCTGCTACTAGTCATAATTAGTGCTTATGTATGCTGCTATATTTCTTTTCTTTCATTTGTCCCTGGTCTGCTTTATGCAGATTATTAGTATTTGAGCTAGGACACGCTCAGTTGCCCGGTATAGTGTGATGTTGCCGAGTTCTTCTTGGTCGTTTCCTACCTGTTGGTGTTTCTACTTTCATATTGTACGTTACCATTGCTGACATCAATGGATTCATTCTCACCAGATGGCCAACCCATGTCAGTTTTAGTTTTTCAATTACAGTTTTTCTTTCTTTAGTTCTTTTAATGTCTTCGTATCTACCATGATCATTTCTAATTTTGTTAACAGCTTTTCTCAAACATATTATTTCGCAGATGGTCCGTTTTCTCTCGTGTTCTTTAGCCTGTGTACAGTTATACCTATAGTGATCTTCATAACTGTGGGGTTATTTTTTCCCCTTCAGAAAGAACAAAAAGAACGAGGATTTCAAAACATGTGTGCCAGAATGGCCTGCTCGCTGCCTAGTAACCAAGCTAGCTGTAGTGACATTGTTCCTCAGGATAGGACATCTTGTGGAGATGGTCAAGTGAGTCTTGGTTGTGCTCTATAGTTTGTCTTCTTGTACTCTCTCTCTCTCTCTTCCTCTCTCTCTCTCTCTCTCTCTCTCTCTCTCTCTCTTATTCCTCCCACCCCCCCCCCCTCTCTCTCTCTCTCTCTCTCTAACTCGCTGAGGCAGTCTCAGAATCAACTTGTACCAAGTTGTTCAATCGATTGTCATCGCGTTCAGCATTCTTTATGTTTTTAGCAACCTTTTCGTATTTGCCTCTAATTCCCCTCCCCCCCCCCCCCTGTATTTTAGGTCTATTGTTTACTTGGAACTAAAGATGTTCGGTCGGCAGGCAAGCATCCAGCTTGCGGAACGGCCACCGTGGCTGCTATACAAGGCAAGGAAGTTCAGGAACTCCAAAATACCAACGTCAGTTTTGGGTGGCCTATATATGACATCTTACCGACCATTTACTTCTTCTTCGACCTTTTATCCCCCAGTGGAGCATATGCCTTCAACCAACTCACCACATGTCCTCCCCATCCTTTTAATTTCATTCTCTAGCTCTCTTCTCCATTGGTTGCTTAGGTTTTTATTTAGGTCTAGCCTGAGAATAGAGGCGGAGACAGTCACTGCTGCCTTCTGATGGCTTGAGAATCAGCTGACTCACAGAGCATATTGCGGGGAGTTACCAGGGCTCAACACTCAAGGGAGGGGCGAGACGGATATAAATTCATAATTCAACATCTATTATTAAGATGCCACTGTAAGTTCCAGCGCAAAGACATTCTAGTTATATTGTTCTCAGATTGTCTCAACGTGTGTCGTATCCAATGCCAGCGTCTTTTCTTCGCCTCTTGGTTCACTGTAACTTGTTTAGTTCTCTGCCAAAGATCTACATTCGTGATTCTGTCATACCTTTTAATTTCCTCTATTCTGCGCAGGCACCAGTTACTGAATGTTTAGACCTTTTACTATCGTATATGAAATACCGTTCTTCAGTTGACAAAGTGTAGTATGCGGCATTAGTGTCTATTACAAAACTTTTATGGATGCAGAGGTACTGATTTACACATACAGGACCTGACCTCAAACCGTTCAAGGCCTGTCTACACCTCTACTCGGTCATCCCGGAAACATGTTTCCGAGCCGGTAGGCAAGCCCTTACAAGCCACTGAGTTACAACGACACCCTTTTATGTGTGATTAATGAAATTGAATTAGCTTGTAAACGTTATCAAGCATAAAATGTCCACACGGATTTGACAATAGAACCGCTCTCCAGACTGTTGCTTAAAATTGTTCCGTTTTATCACACTTTCAGAAATTTTCATTTTTTTTTTTTTTTTCAGTGGTGTGTGGACGACATCTGTGTCACCGACGCAGCTGCCCCCAAAAAGCCAAGTACGTCATTCAGTTAATTATTCTATTGTTAAGAGTACCATAATCATTCATTTTTCTAGACAATCGCCGGCATCTACAGTTAAACAACAAAGAAGATGCGATATGTTTAGCATATCCTTGGGAGACGAGGAAAGTCGATGGCATCAACAGTTAAACAACAACAAAAGACGCGATATGTTGAGTACATCGGCAGTCTCTCCAGACATGGAGAGAAACATCCCAGCGAACTATGTCCCAGGTGCCTGCTTTGGGCGACTCACACCCGATCGCGCAGATACACCTATGTTTTGGGCAGTGACAATCCTCTGACGGTTCTTCCTTTTTAAAAGCCCGCCACAAAGGACTCAAGGCAGATGCACCACTCGGTGAAAAAACTCCAGACCTTCCCTCTGCTACCCCAGCAACTCACTGAAGCGTCGATGACTACCATCCATGTTATCAGCCTCCAATACTTCTCCATCACAACTCCATGTTGGTCAACACATACAAAGTTCCCCAACGTGCCATATAGCCACCCTTGTGAACATAGGCAGTCATAATTGTATGCTCTTATTTTACTAATTGCCCGTGTGGGTTCCGGGACCCCACTTTGGTGGAAGGAGCTGACTCAACAAGCTTTTAGCAAAAAGCTACTAATTTGAGGCTAGTTGAAATCGGATGTATTAGACGCAATGGCCCTGAGGCATTTGGAGGCGAACTATTGAGACACTCAAGGCTACGCGAAGGACGAAAATGGAGATAGAGAGAATAGCTTAGGATGGATATCTGCCTTATGTGCCTCTGGGCGCGATGGGGATTTATTTGTTTGTCCGGATGGCTGGCTATCCATCTGTCATATTTGTATTGCTTATCTAGATGGATGTCTGTCTGTCATGTTTGTCTGGTTGGCTGTATTTCTATCTGTCTTTCTGGCTGTCTGTCTGCCTGTCAGAAATTGTTCCTGGAAGAAGGGATATTCAGAAGAAAAAAAAAAAAAAACTGCTGAGTGATTAAGGTGTTGTTGATAACCACGTTCAGTGACACACATCTTGAGTGCCAGGAAAAACAACAACAGTGAGAAAACAGACTAGTGGCGGAATGCCAACCCTTACAAAGTATTCAGCAGGGAATAAATCGCATGAATATCTCCAGCTAAACCTGAACCGAAACAGCAGAGTGCGGGCTACAAAGTGTGGCCACTGTAAAAGAGGCCTCGGCCCTTAGCTCCAAATACGCGTAAAAGTACAAAGGACCCTTTTCACAGCAATTGGCATCAGGTATTTGAAGCTAGATTCATACTGTACATATCAGTTGATGAGTCATGCGACAAACATTACGCCGACCTCCTCTCCTTCCCAGCATATAACATAATTTAATATTAATTTTAGACTAGGTCAACCTGGAAGCTAAGGTAATTATTTTAATCTGCCCTGTGCGGATTTTAACCCAAGATCTTCGGCTTGACACAAATACACATATTTAGCTCCGATGTCAAATTAGTTACTATGTGAAGCTGGAAGATAAAAAGCAGCTATAACATTTTTCATAAACTACATATAATTATGTGTGCCTTTGCAGAATTAAAGAAGTTAAATGATATCACAGAATAACTAATGTTGAATTCTGGGAGGAAAATTACTAAATTCCAATGAATCAACAGGTGAGAAAAAGATGCTGGCGTTGGATAGGATGTGCATTGTGAAAACCTGATAAGAGTACGAGTTTAATGTCTTTGCACTGGAATCGTGGGATCGAAGGAGTAAAGACCGACTAAAAAACACAGGGAGAAGCGAATAAGAGAGTGAAGCGAAAAAGATGAGGACTTGAGGTGGGCTGCATGTGATTAGGGGTTCAATCTTAGGCAGAGGCACGGCAATTTTTCTGACACCTGCAGCTCTGGGAGTAATGGTAGCGCAATGGCAAGACACTTGCCTGTCGAATCAAAGGACTTGGATTCGTATCCAGTTACATTTTTACCCCACCCCGAAATGACATTAGTTCCCAACTCTATTCAGTTTAGAATCAGTACTAGGAAATATTCTAGTAAGTAAACGGGGGCGGGATAAGGTTCAGCACGTCACTCATGGTATGCTGTTCAGTATTTGTAACTTTAAGTCTAGAATCGTGTACCTGATGTACATCTAGCGTTGAAATGTGTTACTCTACTGGTTGTGCAGCGTTCACCCAGCATCATGTGAACAAGGACAAGACAATTTGAAGAAGTTTCTACTAACTGTTTGGGAAACAAGGAGGCGGGCAACTGGTCCTCATATCTTGTATATTACAAGGAGGTGATAAACTGGCCAACACATCTTGTATATTACAATGAGGTGATAAACTGGCAACCACATCTTGTATATTACAATGAGGTGATAAACTGGCAACCACATCTTGTATATTACAAGGAAGGTGGGGAATTGACCAACACATCTTGTATGTTACAAGGAGGTAGTGAATTAGCCATCACACCTTGTGTGTTGTGTCCTGGCATATACAGCAGCTGTTATATGACTTCTTTATCTCTGCTTACATGGAAGCTATGAATGTGATATCGAACTCCGTTTCTTCTCTTACAGAGGACTGTCCGCAAGGTGACGACCCCACCGCTGGCTGCTCTGCTGCCAAGTGTCAAGATTCCACTATGTTGACACTTTGTTGCCAAACCTGTGCCAAGTAATTCTTACGTCATCAAAATGGATTAGAATAACAATTTTGTGTGTGTGTGTGTGTAAACGGGGGGGGGGGGGGGGAACAACACCTGTCTTCTTCTTGTGCTTTTCAACCCCACCCCCCCCCCCTTTTAACCCCCCAGTGGAGCAAAGGCCCTCAGCCAACTCACGCCAAGTCTTTCTTTGCTTTTGCTACCGCACGCAGCCCTTTCCATGTCCTCCCCATTTTTTTTTTTACTTTGCTCTCTAACTGCCTTCTCTTTTTTTTTTTTTTTTTTTTTTTTTTTTGGGGGGGGGGGGTCCTTCCTTTATTTCCTTGTCCCTGTGGGTTCTAGTGCAAAGACCTTTAGGTATTAGTTATATTGTTATCAGGTTTTTCTCAGTGTGTGTCGTATTCAACACCAACGTCTTTTATTCACCTCTGGTCCACTGGAACTTGTTTAGTTCTCTCCCAAAGCTCCACATTAGTGATTCTATCATACCATTTGATTCCCTCATTTTGGCGCAGTTAACATCTGTCACAGCAGCTTTATTGTTACTACACAAACACTGAAAATATAAACCACTGCTGGCAAAGGCACTCCATTTTTTAAAAACAGTTTCTTAGCTCCTGCTGATTTGCTGAGCTGAAATGTCACGGCTTGTTGTTCATTCGGATTCATACACCTAGACACCTGTGGCAGGTGATGGATGATTTCTGCTATTTATCGTGAAAAGTAATTCATTACTTCTTCATTTCTATGTTTTACTTTATTTCATCCATTGAAGCATTGGTCATCTACCTGTACACCGCCTTACATCTCGTAGACTGTCAATAATTTATGGTAGTTATGTACCTCCTCGCCATGATGGCAAACTGTCAAACATCTCTCTCTCTCTCTCTCTCTCTCTCTCTCTCTCTCTCTCTCTCTCTCTTTCTGTCTATACATATATGCATATATATATATATATATATAACACACACACACACACATATAAATATATATTATATATATATATATATATATATATATATATATATATATATATAAATATATATATATATATATATGTTTGCACCCACTATCACGACGTACTCCAGTTTCACATCTTAATTTTTTTTAAAGCGGATTTTTCTCTGTTGATTCTACTGACCAGTTGTTTACGTTGATTTCTTTTAAAACATTTTCATTACACATTTTAACTGTAGTGTTTTCATATTCTTCTAAAAAGCCACATCTCCGCAGTTTCTATATAATTAATCCACTGAAACCCGCATATTATAATTGGTTCTGATGAGCTTAAAAAAGTTATCTTTCTCGCTGTAATTTTTTTAAATAGAAAAACAAATCGAACACTATGCCGGACATGATGAAACTGTTAAAATAGGTTTCTTGTTGTTGCTGTTGTTGTTGTTGTTGTTGTTGTTGTTGTTGTTGTTGTTGTTGTTCTTCTTCTTCTTCTTCTTCTTCTTCTTCTTCTTCTTCTTCTTCTTCATCTTTATCTTCTTTTTCTTCTTTTTCTTCTTCTTCCTTCATTCATCAAAACTGGTTTCAATAAACGAACTTGACTCCTTCGAATTGTTAACTTTCAGGTGCTTTCTTGTGTGTATTGTTAAATGAAATAGTATGCGACTGTTTGTCAGTATACTGGTCTAACGTCCATTCCTACTCTTTCATCAACTGTCTGTGCGCCTTACTAGCTGTATCCCGCCACACGTTGCTGTGGCTCAGTCTGGATAAATGGAAAAAAGAGAAAATAAAAAGCGCAGGTGTCTAGTATGGTTAATTTCGCAATCAATGGCTGCTTAGATATAGAGACCTTTTGGTTTCTAACTCTAGAATACGCAACATATAATTGTGTCTTTATATTATTGGTCGTTTAAATTGAATTATTAAGACTAAAAAAAAATGGTTATTTGTTTATCACATGCTGAAGCTGTTTGTATTTTTTAAAGAGCAGAAAGTAAAGTTTGCTACTGTACTTCTATATAACCCGCAAATTCGCAAACACAAATTTTTTTTTTTTATTATTGAGAATAGCTGAGGTAGCATTATTAAAATATATTTATTTTAAAAAAAAACGAAAATGAAAGCTTTAAAATCATGTTTTAAGCTCTCTAGGCTTTTAGTTTTTGTCACCACCCCTACCCCCAAACCATCGACTACTCCTCTCTCCTTCTCCAAAGGATTTAAAAGTCATCACCTGACGACATCGTTTTTAATTGACCTTGGCATCCGTGTCCACCCAGACTGACATGAGTAGCAGGAATTGTAAAAAGAAGTAAATGCGACCAGTGTAATATTTACATTACCCATCAAGTACCAGTACTACTACTACCACCACCAGCAGCACAATAGCTATATTTTTTTTTAAAATCACTACTGTGTTTTACCACTTTTCTAGGTCATTGTGGACAGACGGCCGTGAGCCAGAGGATTTATCGCTGCATGGCCAGTGCTGAAGTTTTATTTGGCCTTATCGGGGGTGGAACCCGGGGCTGTGCGTGGCAGCCCGCCGTTGTAACCACCCGTCCAACCACTACTACTCCTATTCTGTTACTACTACCACTGCTGCTACTATTAGTAGTCTAATATTGCTGGCAAGGCGGTTACTGTGACTTCTCTGACATGGGCAGTAGTAATGTCATTAATGTCACGTGAGATGCATATCGCGAAGAAGATAGTGTCGAGGGTCGTGGATATGGGAGTGCAGCCTGGAGCATCCAGACAATAATATTTCACCAAGGTCAAAAGTCGTCTGATTAATCACCACAGAACGGGCATCATTAGTGGTTTTTCCGCTTGTGGAGCTATCGAGGAAAAGATCTGAGAACGTACGGATCTGTCAGGATCACTGTGGTGATAGTCCTCATTAATCACTAATCTTTCATTGCCTTATCTTTTCATTCCCATACAGTCTTTCAACAACTCTCTTTTTATTCCCACATCTTTTAATTGCAACTTGTTTTTATGCCCACATCTTTACATCAGTCTTTCAGCAACTCTTTGTCCCCATAACGAAAAAATTTATAATCTCATACAGCTTCAAGTAGATTTCTGAGGTCAACGGTCAAAGTTCGCCTTACATCTGCTCTAACAATCCTGTTGTCCAAAAAAAAAAAAAAAAACCACATGGGTTGATTACAGCACTCACCAGTTGATCACCTACCTTATCTACTGTCACCCGTAACGCTTTAGCTATTTGATCCCGATCTCTCCCCTTCCTATATACGAGAACATCATCTGCAAATGTCAGCATTCTGCCAACTCCAGGTGTTCCCAGTTCGCAATCTTGCTCGCAAACACATTGATCAGGAAAGGGGAAATTGCAGATCACTGTGGTAGTCCTGGCTATAATACATGGTCCAGAGGTCCATAAACCCAGGTGGAGAGCTACCCGGCGAGTATACAAAACAGCTGCTATCCAATTCACCAAACAAGGACAGACTCCCTTCTTCATAAGCGCTTTCATAAAAATGCTGTATATCACTGTTGTAAGCATCTTCTAAATCAAGTGCCGCTGTCACCATTTCCTGTCTGATCTGGACACTTTCAAGTGCCAAAGGCAAAAGTGGCTGAATTTGACCATGTGTCTTTTCGTAGCCGGTAACTTGAAACCTCCTGGAAGGAGCTTTCTCTCTTTCAAATAGCCTTGTAGCCTACCCGCCACTATCTTCTCTAACACTACCAAAAATGTTTTGTAGGGTTATGATCCTAAAGCCACTAAGTGTTGAACGGTTCTTGCCAGGCTTGGGAAGTAGAACAAGAGAACTTCTTGTTCTTCTTCTTGGTGTTCAGAGGCAGTAAACTCTGGCAGAAAGTTCTGGTTGTTCATCCACCTCTGGACTTAAGTCTTGTTCCAGAACCTGAATGTTGCGTGCATATCCATTTTACACAGATGTTTCTGTTCGCATATCGTTGTTGTTTTTCCGTGCCTCTCAGGCAGATGTACTGTGACTTTGAAAGAAGCTCCCAACTGGTCGACTCCTAAGCTATGCTTGTTGGGGAGGCAGTGGGTCTATTCTTGTTTTTCCTTAAACGGGAGCTCGGAACGCACACATGGACAAAGAATGGAGGCAGATGATACCTGTAACAAAGAACTTTGAGGGCTCGGAATGCTGAAGAAGAAAAAAAGAAGTCAGAACACTGTGTCTTACCTGATAAATATTAAATATCTGAGTCTATAAGACTTGAGTTACACCTAAAAATACTGAATATATTGAGTCTGTATGATTGAGTTGTAAAAGAAAATATTTAATGTCTGAGTCGTATACAAAAGTATAAAATGTCTGGGATTGAAGAATAGAGTAACTGAGATGTTTTGAAAAGAGGCTATAACACAAAGATAAATAATCACAAAAACTCAAAGAGGCAGCCATCATTTTCAGCCACAGTGTTATGTTCTACTGATAACACGAAAAACTGGCTAATCGTCCACGTCTGGACTTTGATCTTCTTCCGGTCTGGCTTATTTAAATGTAGACTATTGCTTCCTTGCCTCTTATCCTGGTGCACTCTGACTTCGAAGAAAAAGCCCATAATTAGTCGCTTTTTATTACACATTTGTAAGGGGGCAGTGGTTCTGCTCTCTTTACCCACAAAATGGGGCCTCATAATCTACAGGGGGAAACAAGAACAATCAAATGCAGAGGGTTTAAAGAGATTAGCAATGGAAAGAGTTGCTGAAAAAAATGGAACAAAAAGAGACAAGGGAAAAATGTCAGTCACAATCAATAACATAATACTCATAAAAAGGGAGCCACCGTGGTTTAGCGGTTAGAGGCTAGCCTGCGGATTCGAAGGTCATGAGTTCAGGTCCCGACGAAGCCGGACTTTTATTTCCAAAAATGATCTTGGTTTCTAGGTCGACCCAACCTTAAATAGGTACCAGGTAAAGTCGTGGGAAGTAAAGACGGTTGGCTTGATTTTTGCCACAGAGTGCCGATTGGTTATAAAAAAATATAGGTCTAGCCCTACATGCCCAATACGCTTGATGGCCTGAAAAGGGTCCTTTAGTTTATCTACTCTTATAAAAACCATACTGAAGGAGAAGCTGAAGGCAAATGAGCAAAAGACAGACAACGAAACAAGTGGAACGATAACATCAAAAGACTAACGGAGAGCAGTCTGAGAGACTGTAAAATACAGCCAAAAATTAAGGTAGCCCTACAACAATTACTACAGTTGAAATGTGGAGTGTAATGGCTTTACATATCACCTCGTCGCTTTTCCGCCCTAGACAATTCTAAGAACACTGGAAATAATGTGGTTTTCATTTTGTATGTTGCCCGTGTGAGGAAGGTGACTGCAGGAGAACAAAGAATAGAGCCACTGCCCCCAGACAATCATGTAGTTGGAGGCGACTAATTATGGATGTTTCCTTCAGAGTGGAAGTGCATCTTCCTGATAGGCAATGAACCAACAGTCTATATACAAATAAACCAGATCTTTATAACGGATGTGCACGCAAAACTAAAATTCTGGATCAATGCTAAAGTTGAAAAGTGGACGAACAACTAGAGCTTTCCGCAGAACTTTACAGCCGGTAAACGCTAAAAAGAAGATTTTGCACGAGTTGGCGGACCCCATAAACGCACTGGCCTTATTACAGATTATTAGTAAAAATTATTTTTTAAAAAAAAAAAACACACACACACACACACAATTAAAACCATCACTGGAGACATCTTCTGTGGTGAATTACAGATGATTGACAATGCTCCTGCTCACCTTGCATGTATAGAAGACGAGCTGACTGAAGAATGTGATTTTATCACAGTTAAATTCCTGCCCTCTGACATTACGGCTCTGATCCAGCCTATGGACCAGCAGGTTATTTGCAACTTTAAGAAACTCTACACCAAAGCATTGTTTCAGAGGTGTTTTGAAGTGACCTCAGACACAGTTAACACTTCGAGAATTCTGGAAAAATCACTTTAACATCCTCCATTGTTTAGGCATCCTTGACAAAGCTTGGGAGCAAGTAACTGACCGGACCATGAACTTGGCCTGGAGAAAATTGTGGCCAGACTGTGTAGCAGATGAAGGCATTGAGGACTTTGATGCAGATGGGCAGAAGATGTCGAAGTCGGCCTCAACTTCAAATTAAGAATGTGGGAAATCGGAACATGAATGATTCGGGTATTTAGCTAGATCCATGGGAACAGGATGCTACCCGTCGCACTGCATGGAAAAAGGGAAAGGAGTGGGGGGGGGGGGGTGTAGAAAAGAGTGAAAGTCTAACGGTTTGGTCCCGTAAACAAAATGTCTTACACTTCATTTCTGAGACAAAGGACAAGAAGGTAAGACTGACACAGCGAGATGGTAAGTAAATACAGGACATTATAATTATTTTGGTGGTGAAAGCTCTGCCACTATTCATCCCAAACATCATATTTTTCTTCAGAAAACTTTCCTAGACTCAGTCTGTTTTTGCAGCATCTCTTTGCACTGATAGTGACCCAGTCTGGTGTGAATGTAGCGCTCTTTGAAAATGATAAAGACGTCGTTCTTCATTTTCCCTGTGTTATGTGTTATGATTTGATTTGATTTGATTCAAGAACCGACATCACAGCACTAGGGCGTTCCCATAAGCACTCCGTCCCCATCTTCAGCAGCCAGCGAAGAGTTCCGATACTAATGGTGCCAGTAGCATTCTGATTAAACGTCCGTCTTGCCTTTCCTCTGAGCCTCGAGCATCTGCCAGAACCTCTCGTCACTCCCTGCTGCATCAATCTCACCAGCCTGTGGTGATCCATCTGCTCCTCCGAACTGTACACGCTCTTCCACAAGGCACTAACCACGTCTGCCTTATCATGTATCAGTATTCCACAAAGTTGTGCAGAGCCAACCAGTCTGTTCATTCCCCAACACACCGGCGTGCCCCGGTGAAAAAATCCAGACAATACCCCTCATCCGTGTCCTCCGCAGCGAAGCATGCCACTCTGCACTAAGCATACCTGTTCTGATCTTCCTCAGCATGATTTCTGAGTCAGTTACAATCACGATGTGTGTGTGTGTGTGTGTGTGTGTGTGTGTGTGTGTGTGTGTGTGTCGTGTTCTCTAGCCAGCGGAAAGCGGCAGTGACCGCCTCCACCTCCATTCTTAAGCTGGATGTTGTAGTATCATATGCTAGGCTCTCCTGCTCCAAACGTCAACCATTAGCTTTTGCTAAGAAGCCCCAAGCACTTCTTTTGCCTCTTGACACTCAACCGTCTGTGTAAATGATCAAATCCTCTGAGCGAGCATTATCTTGAATTATGTGTTATGAAAGCCTCGGCTATTCTCCTAAGGTCAACTGATGGGTAGGACAACCCCTTCTGACCACACTGGTGTCCACACCAGGTGACTACTAAGGCTAGAATGTATGTTTCTCTTGTTAGCTGAGAATGTGGACCAACTATGTCGATTACCATTCAGTCGAATGGAGTACCCATTAGCCGTATGCTCCCTAGCAGGACGTGCGCTCTAAGACTAGGGGATATCCGCTGGCATTCAGGACATGACTTAACAAAACGCCTGATGTCCCTAGCAATTTCTGACCAATAGTAATGGCAGGAACTACACTGGAGTGTCGCGCTAATGCCCATGTGTCCACTAAATAAGATTGTATACCCCATCATCAAAATTTTAGACCGGCTAAAAAGTGGGAACAACAAGCTGATGAAACTTATATTATAGATTCCCTCCCTTACGGTACAGTTTAAAAAAGAAGGAATACTTTCCACACGCGCTGTATGCGATGAGTTCTTCGTATGTCATGGCGAGATTGTCCCCAAAGAATGTGTACTCAAAAGAGCAGGAATGCTAACTATGTACTTTCTAGCCAAGCAAAGACGCCTACATTGGGTAAGACAGAAGTCGGCAAATCGCTGGTCGCGAGCCGCATGAGGCTCTTTAGCGACTTGAGTGCAGCTCGGCCACTCCCACATGTGAGTTTACTGTCATAGCAGATGTTTTTACCATAAACCAACGACATAACTTCATTGTCACCAGGCTCAGGGACTGACGGATGCCTACTACTATAATATCATTATTTCAAACGTATTATACATATATTTGTCATTCAGTATTTTATTACCATTAAGCACATAAACAAGGCGCAAGCTTTTATTAAGCTCTCCCAATAGAAAATATGTAAAAAATTGCCTGACCACCCCATGTTATTTGTGTCGGCGCCTTTGCTCGAATCTATTACCATTGGGCCTATAGGGAAGTGTGTAGGACACTGTTCGATTATTCGAAAAGTCTGTCCTCTCTTAGCTGCTACCTAAAGGTCTACCATATTATCCTGAGATTACAAAAGCCTCAGTCTGGACGGCAGAGCAGCTTGCAAGATCCTAGATACTCCGTTCAACCGCCAAAGAAGTTATAATTATGGCAACCAAAACAGCTACACCATCCAGGTATAATCTGCAGTCCTGTGCGGGTAAGGACACGTAGGCTCCGTCGGTTTTAATGTTTTGTATGTAAACCTAGTCGGCTCTGTGGCTAAGTCGATGCGAACGCTTCGTAATGCCGGGATGCCGAGTTCGATCCCAGCTGCGGGCCATGCGCCTTGCGTTGGTTTCGACAGTGGTATCAAGAAAGCCGACCATCCAGAAGGCAATGGCAAACTACTGGACGTAAATTTGCCTAGAGAAACCACACAACAGCCAGGGGCCTTTTGGGTTGGTTCTGCAACGTCCTGAAAAGGACACGCAACAACCTTTCTTATGTAAACCTTATTTTCCGACGTCGCTCGGCAAGGCACATGACAGTGACGTCAACAACATGGCGCTGCCCTCTGTTTTGTTTTCATCGTCTGCTGACAGTTTCAAACCACATGAATTTGTTCGACGTAGGTGATTTTATTTAATTTAGTGTTGACAATAATAGTATCTGCGTTTTCTGTTTTCTTCCAAATCGTTAATTTTGAGTCAGTGCCACGTGTTCTTAAATTATTGTAATGATATCGAACCGTACTGGAGTACTGGACTGATACAAGATACTTGTTTATTTAATCTCGAGTGTTCAACAAGCCAATCATTGATTCAGTGTCGCAAATTTAATATTTTAAGTATTTAAGCGTAAAAACCACGTTTCAGTCTTAGACATGATGGATTATCAATATATGAACCAGAAATGTTTGGCAATGCACGAGATATTAAGCTGTATACATAATTATCCAGTGAAAAACTGTACCATTGCTATGGACTATAATTTAATGGAAAGAAAGAAAGATGTCATGTCCGACCTAATCATAAATACAGCTTTATGGCATGGAGTCCCACCATATCAATCATTTTTAATAATGATACTATTAATTAAACTACAGTGAAACATCAGATCTGTACAGATTCTCTTCTGTGACAATTTGATTTCCCGACACATGTTTCCAAACATAAAAAGTCTCGGTTTCCGAACATAACCTCGGTTCCTGACTGAACAACCAATGAAAACATTCGCGGATTGAGAGCAACTTCCGCCCAGCCAACTGCTGCTAGAAATTGCGGTGTCTGCTTTGTAATATTTCTTTGTGTTTTATTGTGTTTATGTAGTGTTAAATAACTACCATGGAGCCGAAAAATAATAGTGAAGATACTATTAACGACAGCAGCAAAGTTAAACGAAAATCTGTTAGAATAACGATAGCAGTGAAGAAGGAGATCATATCCAAGTATGAACATGGTTTTCGTGTCCGTGATCTTGCAATGGAGTATAGCATGGCGAAATCGACTATTAGCACTATACTCAAAAATAAAGAGGCTATCAAAAGAGCTGATGTGGCTTTCGGGGTGAAAGTTCTTTCTAAACAAAGATCACCGGTGATTGACGAAGTGGAGAAATTGTTGCTGACTTGGATACATGACAAACTGTTGGATGGCGACAGAATTACAGAAGCTATTATTTGTGAAAGGGCCAAACAGTTACACGATGAGTTGTTGCAGCAACGCCCTGGCACCAGTGCCGATACTGTTGTGTTCAAAGCTAGTAGGGGATGGTACGATAATTTTAAGAGGAGAAGTTTCACATATGGTGATGTTAGACATGAGGAGGCTGTGAGTTCAGACCAAGAATCTGCTGACGATTGTGTGCAAGAATTTGGTGATTGTGTAAAGACAGAGGAGTTTTTTCCTCAACAGAAAGCTAGTAGAGAGTGGGCAGAGACATTTCAGAGGAGAGGCCGCCCACATATTGTAGCTGAACATTATGGGGAGGCTATGAGTTCACACCAGAAACCTGTTGATAATTATGTTCACCAGTTTAGAGATTATGTAAAGGCTGAGGAGTTTCTTCCTCAACAGGTCTTCAACTGTGATGAAACTGGACTGTTTTGGAAGAAGTTGCCAAGGAGGACATACATCACTCAGGAGGAAATAGCATTACCAGGTCATAAACCAATGAAGGACAGGCTGAGTCTGTTGCTATGTGGAAACGCAAGTGGGGACTTCAAGGTCAAGCCATTGCTTGTGTACCACTCTGAGAATCCCAGGGTATTTAGGAAACATAATGTGATGAAAAATAAATTGCCTGTTATGTGGAGATCTAATATAACAGCTTGGGTAACCAGGCAATTCTTTATTGAGTGGATACATGAAGTCTTTGCTCCAAGCGTTAAAAAATACCTACAAGAAAAGCATTTGCCAATAAAGTGCCTGCTTGTGATTGACAATGCTCCTGCTCACCCTGCATGTATAGAAGACGAGCTGACTGAAGAATGTGATTTTATCACAGTTAAATTCCTGCCCTCTGACATTACGGCTCTGATCCAGCCTATGGACCAGCAGGTTATTTGCAACTTTAAGAAACTCTACACCAAAGCATTGTTTCAGAGGTGTTTTGAAGTGACCTCAGACACACAGTTAACACTTCGTGAATTCTGGAAAAATCACTTTAACATCCTGCATTGTTTAGGCATCCTTGACAAAGCTTGGGGGCAAGTAACTGACCAGACCATGAACTTGGCCTGGAGAAAATTGTGGCCAGACTGTGTAGCAGATGAAGGCATTGAGGACTTTGATGCAGAGTCAGTTGCTATTGTCGATGCCATTGTGTCTCTCGGTGAAAGCATGGGCTTGGAGGTTGACAGTGCTGATGTGGAGGAGTTAGTGGAAGATCACAGGGATGAGCTTACCTCAGAAGAACTGGAGCAGCTTCAGAATGAGCAGAAAAACGCAGCAGTGGAGGAAATGTCTTCAGGGACAGAGGAAGAAAGGGAGGATGTTCCTAGCTCTTTGATCAGGGAAATGTGTGGGAAATGGGATGAGCTGCAAAGTTTTGTAGCCATACACCACCCTGACAAAGCTACTGTAAATCGTACCATAAACCTTTTTAATGACAGTGCCATGTCCCACTTCAGAAACATTCTAAAACGTAGGCAAAAACAAACCTCCTTGCATAGGACTTTAGTGAGACAGAGGCCCAATAAGTTTCAAACAGAGTGGAATGGTGCCAAAAAACAGAAACAGGAAGAAGAAGATGAAATCCCAGAAGGAAAGTTATCTGACTTTTTTGTGGCAGAGGATTCTGCTTCCAAACAGTGAAATCTGCCAAACCTTCCTTATAAAATGTTACTTAGAACATCAGTTTTACTTTTTACAGGTAAAGAGACATTAAATTTTTCTAGATAATGTATTTTTCATTGTGTTCGTTATTTGTTTTCTGTTTTGTAATGAGATCTCATAGGTTTTCTTTGTTTTCTGTACATATTTTTGCATTAAATATTGTTATAAAGGATTACATTTTTAAGCAGTCATCAAAATTTATAATAATCCAGTTTACATTAACTCTTATGGGGAAAATGGTTTCTGTTCTTAAACAGCTTTTATTGCTGTTTTGATATCTGGGGTCCCATTGTAGGGGAAAGAAAAAACTGACCTACTGGCTCACTAACAAAAGCATGTTGTGTCGACTTATTAAGTCTTTCCTTCAAAGTCAAAGTTAATCTCCCTGAAAGGTGAGGAACCAACAGTTTCCATGGAAATAAGCAAAATCTTTAATCAGATTTAAGCAAAACTCAAGTTCTGGAACAAGATTGAAGTCCAGAAGTGAACGAACAATCATAACTTCTTACTACCAGAGTTTACAGCTGGTTAACACAAAGAAGAAGAAAAACAACAATTTTTCAGAAACAGATTTGAAAACTCATATCTCTGTTGTACAGATGAATATAGAGGACTTTTCAACTTAACCATTAAAGAATATTTCTTAGAATATCATATTTCTGTCTTCTTCTTCACTTCCTCTTTTACCGCTGTGGGTGTCGAGGGATCATAGATCTGTAAGGAGATTAATACTGACATTCTACATTTCTACAAAATCAGGACTGAACATCAGAGAAAACTTGCTGAAAATGAAATCATCTTAAAGGCGGTCAAGAATCGTCTCTCTTTGTCATTTTCTGTCTTTCCTTTCATAAATCTTACCAGTTGTCAGGTGTGCAACTTTTTTCTGATTTTATAATATGTCCAGAAAATGATGGCTGCCTCTTTCAGTTTTTGTGATTATTTATCTTTGTATCATAGCCTCCTTTCACAACATTTGTTACTCTATTCTTCAGTCGCAGACATTTTATACTTTTGTATACAACTCAGACATGAAATATTTTCTTGTACAACTCAATCCTTCAGACTCCAAGATATTCAGTATTGTTAGGTGTAACTCAAGTCTTCCAGACTCGGTCATTTAATTTTTATGAGGTATGACACAGTGTTCAGACTTCTTTTTTTCTTCTTCAGCATTCCGAGCCCTCAAAGTTCTTTGTTGCAGGTATCACCCACCTCTATTCTTTGTCCCTGTGTGGGTTCAGGGGCCCCGTTTTGGGAAAAACAAGAAAAAACCTCCTGCCTCCCCAACAAGCATAGCGTAGGAGTCGACTAGTTAGGAGCTTCTTTCAGAGTTAGTTATCTGCCTCAGATAGGTCTTAAAAGTGCTCTTGACAGAGCTCATCAATGAAAGTTAACATCTCCCCCCCCCCCCCCTTTTTCCCCCTGACACTTTGCTGAGGTACAAGGTGGAAGAGAGGAAGAAGAAGAAGTTATCTGCCTGAGAGGCAAAAAACCAACAATATGCAGATACATCTGTACAATGGATGTGCAGGCAACACTCAGATTCTGGAACAAGACTAAAGTCCAGAGGTGGACGAATAACCAGAACTTTCTGCCAGAGTTAACTGCCTGTGAAGCCAAGTAGAAAAGCCAGATGTTCTGTCTTTCCAGTTGGTTACTTTCTTCAGGTGTTTGCAGGTCAGCCTTTATGTTATTTCCACCACCATCTTCTTAGTCTGCCTCATGATCTAGGACCATTCAACTCCCTTGTGTGCACAGTTGTTAGCTCTCTGTCATCTGATATTCTCTAAATATGCCCTAGCTATTTCAGTCTCTTGCCCTCATGATGCCAGTGATCAGTGATGATTTAAATAGATTATGCATTTCATTGTTACTTCTCACTGTCTATCCCCCCCCCCCCCCCCCCCTCCTTTCCCCTGTTTGCATCTTTAATGGGTCCAGAGATATGGCATAAGACTGTTTAAAAAAAATTGTTTGGCTAGGTATCAGGTTGACCATGAAACAGTGTTCCCATTTTGGTGGGCTGCAGTGTAAACAAGTTTGAGGAACACTGATCAGTGTATTAGTTTCATAAATGAATCAGTTTTTGAAAGTGTCACTAGATTGTGAATTCATACTTGTCAGATTCTTTCTTTTAAGTATAAATCAGGTTCTCGGGTAGACCCAGCCTAAAATGGATTATATATCATGGACAAAGAGAAATATTGACATTTTGAAAGATCTGAACATTGTGGAAGGTTGGCTGGTAAACAGCATCTTGTCTCGGAAGCTGAAATATTTGGTCATATCAAGCACCATGGCGTGTTGGAAAAAAAAGAATAGCAGAAAGCATGGTACCAGCATGAAGATGGTGGGCATAAGATATAATTGACTATTTGAATATGGAAGTACATGAGGCGGGAGAGCTGGTGAGAGATCACATTTTTTTTAGGCAGACCGGGATCAGAGCGACGTTCTGCAAAGGACATGATGGTAATATTATAGTAGTTTTGTTCACCTGCTGACTTAAATTGTATCATTTCCTTGTGACAGACATTTTGAAAGTTCCAGAACTACCACAGCCACAAATCGTCAGTGACCATATTGAAAGATATGAGTGGTCGTTTGAAACAAAATATTACAGTGCCAGAGCGCATCTTTGTACTACAGACGTAAGAACCATAGGAGATCAAGAGTTTGCAGAATCTGTTCAGGCATTCATTCACTTTTTTGATCCCAATGTTGTAAGTATAATTGATGCAGATCGTTGTGAGTATATAAACCTCTATTGAAATTTTGTTGGGGGTTTATTTTGGCAACAGTATGAGCCCTTACCATTCAGAAAGCACTGGCAAACTTTAAAATTCAAAATTGCTGAGGGAAACCACACAATCAGCAAATGCTGAGATTGGTGTTAAAGTTCTAAAATGACAGGCAACTATTTTTTTTTTTTACCTTACTGTTACTCACTTCACATAAGCATAGGTGGTCATGTTTTGCCATCACACATGATCACCAGAATCACAGATCAGGTCAGTGATATTGCATCACTCCCTTTTTATGGCCAAACCATCTAGGTGTTTTATCTCTTTCACTTCCTCTTACTCTGTTTCTATCAATTTTGCCAGTTATAACTAAGTTCTCTAGTCATTCCTTCGCGTAACATGTCCAAACATTCTATCTACATCTCTGTTTTTAATAATTCAGTCTGGCCTGTCAAGTCAGTGTTTGATGTAGGGTTTCTCTGGGATGGCCTTGCTCCTTCTGTCCATTTGTTTGCAGTTTCAGTGTGTTTAACATCCTCTTCATATTATTCATTTGATCTTAGTTCTCTTTTCCATCTGTTTTACATTTTTGTTGTTTTTTGGTTCCAGAGAAAGAACTTTCTGTTCATACGCTCTAACAGGTTTTCCCAGTTTACTATCCAGAACCAGCATTTTCTCCTCACCTTTTGATTCACCTTAATTTATTTAGTTCACTACGTGAGCTATATGTTGGTGATTCTGTTATGCCATTCTAGTTATGTCATTCTAGTTCCTCTTTTTTGTGCACACACCAGTAAATATGGGTTTGTTGATTAGAACAAATTAAAGGGTAATTCATGAAATGTATATGAGTTTTGTTACATGGATTTTAAAATATCATTATCCTTTCTTGAAATGGAAGATTTTTGTCATGTCTGCCGGATTAACGCTTTGAGTCCCAGGGGGTTTTGCACCAGGGGCCCAAGGGGGGTAATATGATTTTGACTTTTAACAAATGCAGCACTTTAAAACAAACCTCACAACTGCAGCTGATGTCCAACATACACATATCATACATAAAATTAAACATAAATGGATAAGGATTAATATTAGCATACTGCTACAACAAACAATTATACTGTTAGTTAGTTTTTAGTAGAGAAAACAGTGACTTAGTTTGAGAGGTGAGTAAATTATGAACAAGTTTTTTCCACTTACCCAGAAGCTGATCCCAAAATTCTTGATATAGTATATCCAAAATACATCACAAAGGAAGGTACACCACTTAAAAGTATGCACAGCCAATATTAAAGCAAAATGTGCAATAGTTTTTGTTCCATAACGATTTTAATAACACTACCATAACACGTCAAAATATATTCTTCAGTGGCACAAACAGTGACTTTTCTAAAAACAATTGAATTCCTCACATAGAAAAAAACTGTAAAGGCACTGTAAACATGTCAATCTGTTCATAGATATATATCTATGGTTTTAGATGATATGGATAGAAGTACTAGAAGCGCTGACATTTGGACTAGCTGGTGTCACGTTACGAGGTGCTTCTCTTGTGTTGCCAAGGCAGAATTAGTCAGTTTTGTCCTCTTAGCAAGAGGTAAATTACGCACACATACTCATCAAAACTTGACTCGTCAACGGTTTTGGGAAATTTCACGTCGCTACTTTCATTATCCAACTCCACATTACTTTAATCGATCCACTGTTTTATCAAATTTGATGATTCTAAAGCAGTATATCGCTTTGATGGGCGTGAAGACGATGACTGATCGGACATATTGTTTTCAGACAATTGTTTGGTAATGTAGTTAGTTAGTCTTTCCTCTTGTGTCGAGTGCGGCACATAGGGCAGAGGTCGTGACTCTCCATGCACGGCGGTCCGTTGCAATCCGTTGTAGGTCTTGGATGTTTGAGTGGCCCATGAGCGAGCCTTCCCTGATGATAGTTCTACGTAGGGTTTCCCTTGGTCTTCCACGAGATCTTTTCCCCTGTGGTGTCCAAATGAGGGCTTGGTAAGGAAGTCTTGATTTATCCATTCTAAGGACGTGGCCGACATAGTTCCAGCGGCGTTTTCGTATAAAATTAGACACATACTCTTGCCTGGATTCTTGCCTTATTTGTGTATTGGTTCGGAAATCTGACCATTTGAAATTTAGTATTCTTCTAAGGCATTTATTTTCAAAACTGTCTAATTTGGTAATGTAGTAGACCACACAAATATCGATTTAAAGCGTTAAAAACTCACCAGACCCAAACGAATGCACTCCACGTGTGTACACTACACACTTGAGAACCGGAAAGGAAGTTTAAATTGAGCGGTTCACGTGTAATTACCGATAAGTGGTAAATTAAAAACCGTCACACGTCATGCGCTGTTTGGGCCGCCAAGTAGTAAAAAATGAGCGCGTGATGCGTTCCTTGAGTTAATATTCTTATGCTTTACTATTGCATCTTTTCCATTGTGGACATTTTGGTAGTTGCTTTACTTGAAACTGATCTAAATCAGAAGATGCTTTAACAATGATTTGTCTTTGGGGGGGGGGGGGGGGGGGGTCTGTTTGGACTCTTTAGGTGACTAACAACTCACCATGCATTATAGGTTACTCCAGTGGTAACATTTTCTCTCACCTCCTTCCATCATTCACATTTGCTGAATTAACCCTCTCTTCAGAATTATTTGTACCTCTTTTGAAACGATGTATCTCTTATTTTAACCCCTTGCACTCAGTTGTTTACTATTGTTGAGCAGCATACTGGATGGGTTAATCAGATAAAATGCTAGGCTGTCTTGTGGGAGACCCAGGTTCTATTTCTTGCTAACATATTTCTTTTTCTGTTGGGGGAAAAATAAAAATCCAAATTGGCAGTTTAGGTCTTGCACTCAGGCTCAACACCTTTTACCGTCTTCATCTTGATGCAGTGTCGATAAGCCTAGGCTTTTGAGTTTCACCACTACACACGATCACCAGATTCACAGATGGGGTCAGTTTTTTTTGTCTCACCTCATCTATGGCTGTCAGCTCTGTGGCTAAGTCGATGCGAACGCTTCGTAATGCCGGGATGCCAGGTTTGATCCCAGCTGCGGGCCATGCTCCTTGCATTGGTTTCGACAGTGGTATCATGAAAGCCGACCGTCCAGAAAGCAATGGCAAACTACTGGATGTAAAAAAACCACAACAGCCAGGGGCTGGTGGGGTTGGTTCTGCAACGTCCTGTAAAGGATACGCAATTAACTATAGCAAAGCCATCCAGGTTTTTACCTCTATGATCTCTATCATTTGTCTCGAGGAAGACTGCTTCATTTTTTCCCCCCATTATTCCTAAATGTGCTTTGTATTGTTCTCAGAACCCACATCTCTGCTTGGGTAAATCTTTTTCGGCTTTTCTGCTTATTATCCATGTTCTCATTTTACATTTTAATATTCTTTATCTCTCACTGCAATCAGTGTCTTATTGGTGAGTATCTTTTGGATCTTGCTGAAGGCCACTTTTGTTGTCCTAAATCGTACTATAATTGGTAAATAAGTAATAAACATCGTTTAAGTTAGAAAATGTAGACAGGGTTAGTTTTATAAAAACAATATACTTCATCTTTTACTATTTCATACTTTTATCCCGTTAATTTCATTTAAAATATTCAGAAAAACAAAGAAAATTAAATGCTAGTTATTGTATTCTCATACATGTTTTGTTTTAGTTATATTGAAATCTCTAATTTCTTGTGATGTTCTATTGCAGCCTCCATCATTTGAACTGGCAAAAGCTTGGCTGCCCTATCTAGATCACATTAATCCAGATATTCTCATGCTGGTGTGCAACACGAGTCGGAACTCTGATGGTACATATTCATAACTGATTTAAATGTCAGACAGTTGTGTATGTCTTTGAGTATTTATACATCATCTGTACGTATATGACTCATGTATTTATCTGAAGTCTGCATATATTTATGATTTTTCTGTGTGCCAAACAGTTAAAACAAAAATGTAACTAAGCCCCTTGTTTAAAAGTTAAAGTTCACACTTTTATATAACTGTACATAATTAATTACTGATTTAAACATTAAACTCGATTTTACCAGAATTCTAAATACTGCTGACAAAGCTCGGCTATCAGCATATAGTTAACAATCAGTGGATACCATCTCATTGTAGATGCGTAGAAAGGAGTTTAGTCGACGGATCAGCATCATGGCACACGGGTGTAACCCATAAGTGCTCCGTTATTCTTATAACAACTCAAGCGTGAGTTAGAAGTATCTCAGCGCAGAGCAGAAACTGAAGTGAAATGTAAATAATGATCAGCTGATTGACCTGAAAACAGTTGTGAAATTTATACGAGAGACAAAGTTGCATATATAGACAACTTATTTCAAATGAAGAAAATAAGTCTTTAACAGCTCTATGTCTAGTTAGCACTTTTATACATCTGTACATATATTTATTACTGATTTGTTTCAGACAAGTCTTTATGTCTCATTAGCATTTTTAAACAACATCTGTACAGACAGTATAACTCTTTAACTTGTCAAATAATTCTTTATATAAACTAACGAGCATTTTATTTTTTAGTTTTATATGTAAAAATTGGCTCTTATATATTACGTTTTCTGTATCACACAATTTGTGTCTGTTTACTTAGCACTTTGGGAGCCACGGTGGTGTTGTGGCTAAGTTCGTGTGTTCGGGTCCTGACAGAGCCAGACTTTAAAAAAACATTACCTTGGCTCTCAGGTCAGCTCCCTCCTCCCTCCCACTAGTGGGTATCAGGTACATTCCTGGGAATTAAAGGCGGCCAGCTTGAGTATCGATTGTTCTATCAAATATAGGTCTAGCCCTATATGCCCAATATACCTGTAGGCCTAGAACAGGGTCCTTTTATTTTTATTTTTTTAAACTTGCTATTTCTGTAGATATTTTTATTTAAAATATGAAAGTTTTGTATTCATTAGTACATCTTTATTATTAGTGTCTATATTTTAAATGTCTTTGTCTGTGGCTTAGAGCTTCTGAATATGGTTCAGAATTCCAAAGTACACATTTCAATTTTGCTGCAGACTGCTTTCCGTTGATTTTGACAATGGTATGGAGTGTTAGCTGTTCAGAAGGCAGTAGCAAGCTGCTGAATATAAACTTGCCTAGTTAAACCAAACCAGACTTGTGACAGTTATGATTGGTGGTAACCCTATTCCGGAACTCCGCTACGCAGATGACACAGTCCTCCTTTCGAACACCGTAAAGGGAATAGAAAATTTAATATTGTCCGTCCAAAAGCACAGTGAAGATCAAAATCTTTTCTTGAATTTAAAGAAAACGAAAATAATGTCCACAGATAAAACTGGCTGTCACCCAAAATAACAATAAATGATGAAGAAATTGAAAATGTCACAAACTTTGAATATCTAGGCTCTATAATAAACAACAATGGAGACTTCGACAGAAATTAAAAGGCGGATGGCCATAGCAATGCAAAGATTGAACAGTCTTAAAAGTCTATGGTTAAGCACCAGCAAGGAGATAAAAATTAGAATTTTGAGAGCATGCATCTTCCCTGTGGCTACATACGGATGTGAGTCGTGGACTATCTCTCAGTCCTTAAGAAAGAGAATAGGGGCTTTTGAGCTGAAATGCTATAGAAAGATTCTCAGAATATCTTGGACAAAGAAGATGAGAAATATTGACATCCTAAAAGATCTGAACATCAAAGAAGATTGGCTAATAAACAACATTCTTTCTCGAAAGCTGAAATATGTTGGTCATATCAAGCGCCACAATGGATTGGAAAAAATTATAGCAGAAGGCATGGTACCAGGGAGGAGGGGCAGGGGCCGACTGACACGAAGATGGGCACAGGATATAAGTGACTCCTTGAGTGTGAAAGTTCATGAGGCGGGAAAACTGGCAAGAGGCCGAGTTTCTTACAGGCAGACTGTGATGAGTGCGACGTTCTGCAAAGGACCTCATACATGACGATGAGTTAAATCAAAAACGGCCAACAAATGTTGGGGTTGGTACAATGAATCTGTTCAATGAATCAATCAGGTGCCATCTCCACAGTGAAAGTTGGCTGCAATGGATCACCCTGTCTCTTTTCTAGGTTGAACACTCTCTCAGACTGTTGTCAGTCCATCTCTTGATATTGTCTTCCCACTTGCATTGTTGCCAACCTCTTGCTGTCTTGCCTTTGACCTTTCCCTCCAGTACGGTTTTTAAAAGTGTGTTATGTCTTTTAATGTGGCCAAAGTGTTTCAATTGGTTTGTTTTGTTATTTCAGTAATTCTCTTTTTCATTTGTAGTCTTTCCAGAACCTCTGTATTGGACTGTATTTGTTTCCATGAAATATGACCTATTCTTCTGTAAACCCGCATTTCCAGGGACTCAGATTAGTTAGCAACATTCTGTATAGCAGTAAAGAAGTGTTCTTCAACCTTTTACACTGACGGCCCACCAGAACCGGAAATTGTTTCATGGCCCACCTGGCAACTAATCAAACATGAAATAAAGCCAAATACAAATAAGAGTTGATTTGTTAAATCGGATATCATAGAAACACAATTTTCAGCTAATGGAACAACTGCTGCTTACAGGTTAGACAATATATATACAGCTAGAGTGTTGTTTCTTATAGATTAAATACTGCACTAACATCCATTTGAATTCTTTGTTTGGTCTTTAATGACTGTTTTAATCAGTTGAAGAGGTTTTTTGGATTTGTATACCTTGTTTTTTCTCCCCCAATCCTTGAGGTGTTGATCCTACAGACTGCAATCCTGGAATAGAAAAATTAGCTGCCCAGCCCCGGTACATAATTAAGTAGAAATGTCTGGTGGACCACTTGGACTTTTCCAGTACCCACCAGTGGGCCATGGTCCATGGTTTGAAGAACCTACTGTATGGGATAGAGAACTACCTGAGTTGAACCTTTCTGTCTGTATACCTAGCACTTTTTTTTTTTTACAGTACATATTTTATTTGCCACTCAGAAGCTTTGGCTATGATTAAATAGTGACACTGTGATCAAATTAGTGACACTGTGATTAGTAACTTGTATTGTCTTCTGATATGTTCTTGCTTGTCATGTAAGTTAACTTTGTCTCATATTTTTTATAATAAAGACAATCTAGAATGGAAATTCAGTGCCACTGTAAAGTATAATGAGTCTTCCTTTTATATACTCTTTGAAAATTTAGCTCTGTTAAAATACTACAGTAAATACTATTGTTGAAAATCGTCATCATTATATTATGCCCTTTTGGTAGGCGTAAATGGTTATGGTTGACCATCTCTTACATTTGTAACCAAGTGGTTTTATGGAGAGGGAAGAGACACAGAGAAGGAGGCATAAACAGAGGAGGAAATGAGAAGACTAATAAATTTAGGTTTAGGATTTCCTGAATGAGGGGGTGTAATAATAAGTCTACACCCCAGTCAGTCAGGTAATTGTCGGTGCGGGTATATTCTTCTTCTGCCTTTCTAACCCCCAGTGGAGCATAGGCCCTCAACCAACTCACTGGGTTCCAGTGCAAGGACATTCTAGTTATATTTTTCTACTTTTTTTTTATATCCAAGGTCGTAAATACAGCAACTCATAGCACATACCAGAACTCGCACCTGATGCTTCTTCAGAACCTGAGGCTACAAGGCAGAACAGGACTGAAGAAGAAGAAGCATGGTAGAGTAGTACAACTACAATAAGAGATAATGTTACAGTGAGTGTACAGCACCATGGCACCTACTGTGTAATGATGAAATGCAAGACTAACACAATAAGAGTTTATTCTAAAAACACAAACATCAATCACCCCTCAAAACATGACATAATCAACATGTGTCCAAATACTCCACATGCTGCCACCACAAGGGCTGTAAGATTACAACAGCCTACTGTTTGCAACAACTGATATATATTCGATCTGCAGAATCTACTTTACTGAGCTGGTAGTCCCTGTGGTGTAGTGGCTAGATGCTTACCTGCAGATCGGAAGGTCATGGGTTCAGGTCCTGACTGAATTGGGCTCTCTTCAGAAATGACCTTGGCTCCCAGGTTGACCCAGTCTTGAGTGGGCACCAGGTGCAGTCCTGGGAAGTAAAGGGGGCTGGCGTGATGTTGATCACATCACCCACCAAATGACAATAGGTCTATAAAATATAGGTCTAGCCCTACATGCCCAATACACCTGTTGGCGTGGAAAAGAGTCCTTTACTTGACTTATTTTACTCAGCTACAGACTAGCAAGTAACTTCTAGAACTTTCTACCAAGCTAACATTGAGTACCACCTAAAACTAACTACTAGACACCAGGTACCAACAACCACTAACCTACTAGCCAATCCCATTCAGTCCTAACATACACTGCTATCGGTCACAACACTGCTTTCGTTTAGTTCCTGTCATCATTACAAGGCTGTCTCAGATGGTTCCTGTCTTCATTATTAGTCCCTGTTAGCTTAATCATTCCTTATGACCATCAGTATCAACCAGCCTTCATTGTCGATCATCGGCAGGTCCTTCATAGAACACCACTCGCGTCACGGCATGATAGAACACCACTCTCGTCACCGCACTCCTGAAAGTCTCTCTCTCTGTAGCCAATTCTCCAACCCTATTTGCTTCCATAGCTAGTGCATCTTCAGTGTCTTGTATCCACGTTCACGGAGGTCTGCCTCTGCCTTGTTTTCCAGACACTGCCCCCTCCATCACTGTTCTCTCCAGGCCACTATGATATTTAATATGGCCAAAATACCTCAACTTTTGGAACAGGATGCTGATTATAAGCCAGTTTTCCTCAGTCCTTAGATCATGTAGGATGGCGTTGTTTTTCTTCTTTATCTGTGGTATTCAAAGAATTTCATTGTGGATACCTCGCTGTTTTTGTTTCTCATCCTCACCTCTGCATTTGACACTGATCTGTCTTTCTGTTGCAGCCATTCAGCGGAAGGTTGCTCTAGAATGGTGCATACAGAATTCCTTTGAGCTGGTGGAATTATACCCGGAGCAAGAAAGTGATGATGAAGGTTAGATATACAGTGTTTGTAAATTTAAAAAAAATATTTTTCTGTATATTTATGTTTGTTTTATCCCAGCTGTAGGCGATTTGGCAGCAGATCACCTTGCATTGATTTTGACACTACTGAATGTACACATGTCCTATTGAAATCACAAACAACTAAACAAATTTTTTTTTAATGTTAGGGTTATTTCTACAACTTTTTTTTTTTAATTTCAAACACATTGGATTCACCTTGACCTGATGGATAGTTTTCTTACTAAGGCGTTGCGAGTCCGACTCGTAAGCCAGCATACCGCGATCGAAACCCACTGCAGGGTGCGTGGATTTTTGTCGTGGTATGGGACGTCGCAGGTCGACCCAGCCTAAAATGGGTACCAGGATGGGCTGTCCTGGGAAAGTAAAGACAGCCGGCGTAATGCTGACCATATTACCCACAGAGTGCTGATGGTCTGTAAAAATATGGGATGCTCTGCCCATATGCCCGATGCGCCGAAAGGTGTGAAAAGGGATCTTTACTTTTTTTTAACAATGATTGAGATTCAGTTCCCAGTGAGGCAGGATTATTTTTTTTTTTCCAGACGGTTATGGCTCTGGGGTAATCGTAGTCTCATAAAAATGATTACCAAACAATATTAACTCTTTCGTTACCAGGTTTAGAAAAAGATATCACAGTGACAAAATAAACATGATGCCAAATCTTGATTGCTTTACTTTTGAAGTAACAAAATATACATAGTTGTAGTGACCAGTTGGGAAAGTCAGACTTCTCTAGTACGTTCTGTCCAAATGGTAAACTTATGTTATTAAAGGGTAAATTCGTTCACACACTGGTTGTTGCTTGGGACTTAAAGAATTGAGAACTTTCTAGGTATTGTCTAGGGATTCTAGGTATTGTCTTTGGCAGACAAAGAATGAAGTGGTTTGGCCATCTAATGAGAATGCAGCCAGGCCAAACTGCATATGATATTTTTTACAGCAGAACTTCTGGGAGGAAGGTGAAAGGAAGACCAAGAAAGATATGAATAAATATCGTAGCCGAAACCTGCAAAAAAAAAATGTAACAAATCTGTCACCCAAGCCACCAGAGAAGGGCAAGACACGACACTGGTCTACAACCTGGTATCAGTGAGATGACAAAAGAAGAAGTCTGAGGGTAACAAGGAACATGTGTCACGACTTAGAATATGCAACACTTCACACTTCTGCAACAGCATCTGCTAAGGGACCAACTTTGAATCATGAAAAGACTAAATTGGTGATAGGGCTAATGTGAAAGTACATGATGTGGCTTTGTGTATCCATTAAATTTAAGCACCTACCCATGTGGGTTCTGGGGCACAGCCCCCTAATTTCAGCAAGCATGTCGTAGGAGGTGACTTATTTGGGGTGTTTCCTTCAAAGTCGGAGTGCATCTGCCTGAGAGGTGAGGAACCAACAGTCTGCATACAAGTAAGCCAGATCTCTAAATTGTGTTCGCAAAATTCCAGTTTTGGAACAAGAGTAAAGTCCAAGAGTGGAGGAACAACCAACCAGGATTTGCTGCTGGGGTTAACAGCTAATGAATGGGGACATTTAAGCACCTTCTATCATCAGAAGTTTGGTCTTTGAGAAGAATGTGGTGAAATGACTGAAAAAACACCTTAGGCATTCTTCCTTGAGACAGATAGAAACCATAAACTATTCAGAGAAATTAGGCATAGACATGATTTTTTTGGATGCATAATGAGAAAAAAAAAAGACTAAAATTCTTGTTGACCGTTACATAGATTGATGGAAAGCGATCAAGCGAAAAATAAAGAGATAAAAACCTTAATGGATTTGGTGGAATATGAGTACTGACCTGATCTGTGATTCTGGCGATCAAGCGGGATAACAGCATTGACCTGATCTAAGATTCTTTCAGCCATACAGGAGAGTAAACTATGACTACTTGCGCTTATTGCAGAAGTTAATTGTAACACTTCTGTCAGTAGTTGCAACAAATCTGTTACCTTAACTCTTTCACCCTATAAGATCAAAAGCGAAAACCCTGCAACCTGTAACTTCCCAGAAATTGTGTTTTGCATCAGTTTGAAGAAATTCTAATTAATTCCCATTAGAAAATTCAAGAAATCCTTTATTCCGAGTCAATAATACAATTGTGTGAATGAACTTACAGTAGAGAATGTCGGTGGAATGTAGCTTTTTGCTGATGCTCACTGCATGCCACTGTCAGCTGATGGCGGCATGCAACGATTGGGTGGTAACAAGGAATTCATCATCAATGTTACTTTTGATGTCTCAAGTACAGTCTGTTGTGCCTTCTAGCACACTGACAACACTTTCGTCACTGTTATAAGCAGAATAACAATATTTTTTTGTTGGCGCATAAACAGTGTGAATGTTTTGAAAGGTTTGCAAAAAACAGTCTTTCAACACAGAAAATGTTGGTAACAATGGCCAGTATGCTGTTTTTAGCAACTAGAATCCTTTTTATGTCCTTTACACACATACCTACTGATAAACAGGTCCAAACCTAGTTAGAGTGCTTCTTGGGAACTGCAAAAGTGTTGGTTAAGCGGCATTTAGGGAAAAAGGGGCACTACCAAATGTACCGGATTAGTGGCTTTGCAGGGCAAAAGAGCTAAGTGTACACATTAAAATGTACACACATTTCTTTAAATGCTGAACATGAGATGGCTGAACAGTTAAAACGCTCTTTTCATTCAGGATAGCTAGTCTGAATTCTTGTAGAAGTGATGGCAGTTTAGTTTGTCGTGGATACAAAATTTTAAAAACTCTAACCTGTGCAGTTTGGGGCTACTGCACTAGCCCTGCTTCCCTATATTCTTGAGACTGAAAACCCATCGTTCTGCACCGTTCTAAAAGGGATTAAAACAAGGCTGTAAACACAGTTTTTAAAATCAATCAAACAAGGCTGTAAACACAGTTTTTAAAATCAATCAAACAAGGCTGTAAACACAGTTTTTAAAATCAATCCATTATTGTACATCTTTTGTAAGTTGATTTTCACTTATGTCTTCAGCATTTTAACATAGATTTATTGTTGTACATGTTCATAATAAATAATTTTTTAATGTATCTACCAGATTTATTGTTAAATATGAGTTATTATTGTATTTTCTTATACATTGATGTGACTTACTTCTCCATCATGTTAAAGAGGATTTACTATTTTACATTTTCCTTATACCATTGATTTGCTCATTCCTCACCTGATGATAAAGAAATCCTAATTCCAGATATTCAGTTTCCTGGACCATTTAGAAAGGAATATACCACATACTATTCTGTAATAATGTGTAATCTTATGTGTACAGAGGATGATTTCCCAGAAACAACAGGAATGGCCAGAATCATTCAAGCTCTGCATGCACATACTTGGCCAAACTTGGACATGAAAGGTTGGTTGCTTGTATTTAACTTGATGTCACAGTAATTATTCGAGAAGGGCAGCTGGTCAAGTGGCTAAAGAACCTGACTTTCTTGTGTGTGACCTAGATTTAAGTCTGATGATTGATTGTACCTTTTGATTTTTCCAGATGATAGTGTTATATTGCGCTGTGAGGAAGCATGGGACTCGCAGCCTATGGCAATTGCGTGACTAGCAAGACCTGCCCGCGTTAAGAGAAGTCTTCCATAATTACAGCATGGGATTTCAGAACCGTTGTCGCCTACGGTAGCTGTCAAGGACTTATAACCCATAACTGCTGCCTCTCGATTTATTTTTGAGACCAGTTACAGCCAGGGATGTAGTTCATCCTCTCCATAGCACAAAACCTCGGCAGCGTTGTAGAGACCTCATGTTGCCCATGCATCGTGATCCCATGCACAACCTGTCTTGTTTACTCCAGAGATCTTGTAACACCACTATGTTTGGAATAAAGCAGGCTACAGAGGCTGCTGGATCAGAAGTGTGGTGCTCTGTCTGTCTGCCTGTTGGAGCCATCTTCCTAGACCAGCTGCCAGCCAAGGTCTGCTTGTCATAAAAAAAGGTTTTCAGCTTGTCTTTCCTCCTCTTTGGATAAGGTTAGTATCCTCCCCAGTGTACTCCTCCACCTGAAGCCGCTGGCTCAATATGGAATGTCAGGTTTGGTTTACGCCGCCCAACATTCAGCTTTAACAGAAGACTGTTATACAGTAACTCAGTCATATTTGACCAAAACCTGACCTGAAAGCCAGGAATCCTTACAACTAGATGCGCCTAAGTAGGGGAGGGGATTTTGTCTGCCGAAGGCATAATTAAAACAACTGTATAACCTGCACAGTTCTTGGTGGCTGCACTAGCCATGAGGATTGAAATCCTCAGGCCTATAACCTCCCTGCCCAGGTTTGAGGTTTGAACAATGGATCAACATCAAGGCACACGGGTAGTAAGTAACCCATAAGTGCTCTGTTCGTCTTCTTACTCAAGTGTGAGTCTGAAGAAGCTCAGTACAGTGCACAGGCGAGGATCCTGAAATACTTTGGGTAGATTTTTTACTCAAAATTTTGCCAGGGAAGCGCCGTTGAGCTACACTTTTCGATTTCCAACTGCCAAGGAATTTTTTTTACGAGCGCAGCAATGCACACAGGCATCCGATCTCACTACCCAGAGACTGGGGGAATTATTAGAAGTCCAAGTCCATGTGAAAAAATCCCAGCCCTTAACGGGAGTTGCACCCAGAACATCTAGCACTCGAGGCGGACACCATGCAGCCCCTCTCCCTGCCCAAAATATGGTCAGTGCAGGCAATAAAGATGGATGGACCAGACTGTCTCCTCCAGGCTCAAAAGGTTTATCATGCCATCCTGAGATGATAGAAATCTCAGTCAGGGTGACAGACCAGCAGGGCAAATCCTCACTCAACCTCCAGGGAAGTTATTATTGGGGCACCCATAATGAATACACAGGCCACATGTAACCTGCAGTCTTATGTGGATATGGATGAGCAGTAGTTGAGTTGTCAAGAATTGACATCACATCACTCGGGGCATTCCCATGTGTACTCCGTCCTCATCTTTAGCAGCCAGTACTGATGGTATCGGTCACAAACTGGTTATATGTCCATCTTGCCAGTCCTCTGAGTGTAGTGAGCCGGTCAGACCTTCTGGTTACACCCAGGTACCTCATTCTCTCCAGGCCATAATAATCTTGTTTCTCTACTGATTCTGTTGCTTGTTCCCAAAGGGCCTTGACCACAGCCGCCTTGTCATGTATCAATTCACCACCCAGTGCTGCAGATCCAGTAAAGGCAGTTTAATACTTTATATATGCAGGAAATTAATCATCAGCATTTGCATTTGGGCAGAAATAAAGGAGTAAATTCAAGTTCTTATTTGTTGTATAAACAGCATACTGGCCATATTTCAGCTAGCTGTATTACCACTTTCTTATTAATGGATGTTTTCAAATAAACTAGATGCTGAAGTTTAACATCTGATGACTGCTTCCAGTGCATTGTAGGGGATCAAGAATGTGGATAGAAATAATCGCATACCAAAGAATAAATAGAGATTTTTTTTGGTTTATTTCTTACAAGTTTATGACCAATTATTTTTAACATTCACAAGGTGAAAAGGTTAAAGGTATTATTTCTCTCAGTTATTGTTCAGTTTCTAAAGACAAAATCAGTCATTTTAATTAAATTTCGACAAATAATCTTTCCCAGATGCAGTCACTGTTCAGAGCCCTTATCTGAGACACATGATGCAGGAACAACACATTCTCAACAAAGAGCTGCACAGTATTGGCAGCCCAGTGCCTGTCCAACATTCCTCTGAATTATCTCAACTGCTGGCTAATTCAAACACATTGGAAAGAACAAGTAACGATGATGCTAATGCTCAGAATGTGAATGCTGTTGATAGAACAGACGAGCCTGAGCCTACGAGTCAAACTATAGACACTGCATCTAACAACATAGGTCAGTCAGGTACTGGCAAAGAGACTGCTCCAAATGTCACAACATCAGACCTGGAAGATGTTTTGCTGCCTGATGACATTGACTGGAAGACCTTACTGGTAGATGGTGGTGAAGCAGGTAGCTTGTAGTATGTTTTTGTACCGCTGTGTTTGTATTTTTTAAATTGTATTGCTATATTTGTAGTAGTATCTTGTATTACTATATTTCAAGTATTGTACTATTCTTTTAGTATTTCTGTAACTGTAATATCTTCTGTTGTTACATTTGTAGTAACTTTTACTACTATATTTGAAATATTTTATACTATTATATGTAATCTACTAGTACTGCTATATTTGTAGTCTCTTGCACTGCATTTAGGCTCCAAAATACGCCAATTAAATTGACAGTTAGCCTTCTTGGGGACTTCTAGAAAACGAGTGCTTTAAGGCTGTCACTCTTTGTTAAAACACTTCAGCGATTACATCAGATGCTATTTATATAACTAGGTTATTTATTTGCAAATTAACACATGATGGTTCTAGAAAGGAATGTCAAGGTTGCCAAGACTTGTTGATTATTCTAATAATGCGCAATATCCTAACTCCTGACAAACAAGTTATGACGTCTCCCTGTTACAGTTAACATGAAGTGTCCCTACTGAAGTTAATTCGTCAGTTTAAAAATATGTCCCACGCTAGATCTGTAGATCTATTTTATACACTGGTTCCCTCAACTTATTTACACTTATGTGAGTCCTTAATGCGTCACAGCCAAACTCTTAGGGTGGTGAGTCGTGAACACACAATGACTCTGAACTCAGCCACACATCAACCCCTGTTCAGACAGTCACACAATGACTCTAAACTCAGCCACATGTCAGCCCCTGTTCAGACAGTCACACCATGACTCTAAACTCAGCCACATTTCAGCCCCTGTCCAGACAGTCACACAGTGACTCTAAACTCATCCACATTTCAGCCCCTGTCCAGACAGTCACACAGTGACTCTAAACTCAGCCACATTTCAGCCCCTGTCCAGACAGTCACACCATGACTCTAAACTCGGCCACATTTCAGCCCCTGTCCAGACAGTCACACAGTGACTCTAAACTCATCCACATTTCAACCCCTGTCCAGACAGTCACACAGTGACTCTAAACTAGGCCACATTTCAACCCCTGCCCAGACAGTCACACAGTGACTCAGAACTACAGCCATATTTCAGCCCCTGTCCAAACAGTCACACAGTGACTCTGAAATCAGCCACACTTTAACCCCTGTCCAGTCACATAGTGCCTCTGAACTCAGCCACACTTCAGCCCATGTCCAGTCAGTCAGTCAGCGACTTAGAACTGCAGCCATAGTTCAGCCTCTTTCCAGACAGTCACACAGTGACTCTGAAATCTGCCACACTTCAACCCCTACCAAGACAGTCATGCAGGTCCAAATCTAGAAACATTACAAATGTAGCAACAATTGGCAACATGGTTTAGATTTGGGATATTATAAAAACAATAAACAAACATAATGTTTTGAACAAAACTTATAGAAAGAAGTAGAAAGATAGAAGGACACACAAAACAACATAAAACAAAAGCTATAGTTACCATGCCGGGAATAGAACCTATCACCTCCAAATGGTGTGTGGGCCTCGCTTTGGTAACAAATGTACTAAGAACATGACCAACTAGGCACCCCCGAAAAAGATGTCTTTATTGCCATGTCTGTCGTACAGCCTGAAATTCACAACTATGGAATAAGGACAGAATTAATCTCAAACCATTGACATGGCATCATAGGTTACAAAAATGTATGTTAACCAACAATTACAGACATATCAGACCGTAATGCTGTATCTAGAATACAATAACAAACATTTAAGAAAAAGGTTTGATTGGTCAGTTCCATTGTGTTACACGTAATTCACATAAATAAACAGAGGGGAACCCTTGAGTACACTAGTTTCGATAGCGGGGTGCACACAATATTTTGAGGTGACAGGTTTGATTGCAGACACGGTAACTACAGCTTTCAATTTTTGTGTTGTCTAGTGTGTCCTTCTAATTCTTTCTGTAAGTGCTGTTCAAAACATTATCTGTTTGTTTTTATATATATATATATATATATATATATATATATATATATATATATATATATATATATATATATATATATATAAAATATTTCTACACTCTCAAGAATTCACCTCTGTTTTATTTAGATTTTTGGATAGATATGTAGATAATTTGCTTGACACATTTTGGCTTTCTTTCTAGATGAATCCACTTCAGGCAGTCATGTAGATGTGGATGATTTTGAACAGTTGTTCATGAAACTGAAAGTTATGAAAGGCAAGTACACAGTCTCAGTAGTTTCGCAGTCATTCATATTAGTCTTAGTCGAGGTTTCAACATCACTGCAATTGGGTTTCCCCATACTTGCTCCGTTCCTAAGCTAGTGCAGATAAAATGAAATGTCCCTCGCCAACTTCGAAGCTTAACATTCTGCCAAGCCTTTCCTTCTTTTGGCCAGAAATCATTATTGTTGTCATAAACAGTTGTAAAAGTTTAACAAAGGTAGCAACAAAAGTGAGTAGTAATACAGTGAACTAAGATGTGTTTTTGTTTAAAAAATTATTATGAAACAGTGATTCCAACTTTACATTGATAGGTGACATTATCATTGCTCCATTTATGTGCCATCGGAAGACAACATAAAACGCTTATTGCTGCCCCATGTCATAATTGAAACAGACAGTAGTCCTGGCAAGACCAGCATATGCACATGCATTAAATGCACAAGGCAGCCACTTGAGTGTCGACACCAATTGTCTGTCGCTAAAGTTACAATTCACTGCTGAAATAAACAGCTGTCATGAAAAGACTTCTTTCCTCTAGAGATGGTCAGATTGCAGGAATGAATGTAGTTCATGAGAATGTGTAAAATGCCTGCATGTGCTTTAGTTTCTTAGACAGGATGTCCAATCAAATCTGACTGTATAATCATCCTTTGGTATGAAATGTAACCAGTCATATAACTGATTAAAGAGCAACAGAGGAAATAGTTTTGCCATCTTGGAGAAAATACCCTCGTACCAACTGCCACTTTGGAGACATATAATGAGCATGAGGATTGCCACACAAAAGATGAGAGACTGCATCAGCACAGTCTTAGATAATTAAGAGACAGTCTTACACAGCACATTATACAGAGCACATAGAAGATCCTTACGTCTTCAGCAACACTTCACCAAAGTAATTGGAGGAAGAGGAGTTTGTGTGTCAGTTAGATGGACAATGCAGGGATGTATGCATAAGCATTATCCCTTCTACTATGAATAACTGACAGTATAATCAATCAGTCATTTAAATTAATATAGGCTGTATTTTCTCAGTTATCAAATCTTATGGAGACAACAAGTATTTGGCAGCTTAGTGTTCACAGTGTGTAAGTTAGATAGACAATTCAGTGTTGTATATGCATAAGCATTACTCCTTTTGCTGTAGATGACTGACAGTATAGTCAGTCATTTAAATTAACGTAGGTTGCATTATCTCAGCTATCAAATATTATGCAAACAAGTATTTGGTAGCCCAGTGTTCACTGTGTGACAGTGGCTATTATTATAATTTCCTCAAAGTTAGACATAAGCCAGTAAAACAGATGTACACGCAAAACTTAATATCAGCCAATCAGATTCCATCTCCACAGCCGAGATTGGCTGCAATAGATCTCCAACATGCTCTGTCTCTTGTCCTGGTTGTACACACTCTCAGACTGCTGCCTGTCCATCTCTTGATGTTGTCCTTCCATATGTATCATTGCCTACCTCTTGCTCTCATGCCTTCGACCTTTCCCTCCAGTATGGTTTTTTAAAAGTGTGATATGTCTTTTACTGTGGCTAAAGTATTTCAGTTGTCTCTTTTTTATTTCTTTCAGTAATTCTTTTTTCATTTGTAACCATTCCAGAACCTCTGCATTAGACTGTTTCTGTTTCCATGAAATATGACCTTTTCTTCTGTATACCCACGTCTCCAGAGACTCAATTCCATTTTCCAGTTGCTTGTTCATTGTCAAGTTTCTATACAATATAGCAGGACTGAGTTTACATAACATTTGATGATTCTCCTTTTTAGTCTGTTTATCTCTATAGCTGGCAGTAACTTGCTCATCTTGTTCAAGACAGTTTTAGTGATTCCTATTCTCTTTTTAATTTCTTTTTTGCTTCTTCCATCATCTGTTACTACATGTCCTAAATAGGAAAACTTAATTTTCTAACGCAAAACTTGGGTCCTGGTAAAAGCCAAAGTCCAAGTGGACGAACAACCATGACTTTACGCTAGAATTTACAGCTGGTGAACACAAATAATAATAAATAAATTTATTATTCTCTGTAATATATAGTATTAAACTCTTTCAGCCCCAGACAGGTTTTACTTTAACCCCCTTATATCCCAATGAGATCAGCTTAAAGAAGCAAATATTTAGGTCTAAAGAAGTTCAGTAGAGACACTGTTGGACAAACATACTTCAACTAATATTCCTATATAACAGTTTTTTTTTTTTTATTATTTAAAATTCTGTCTATGATATGAGACAGCAAGAACAGTAAATTGTTCTGGAATGACCAAGTAACTTGTGGGGGGGGGGGGGGGGGGGGGGGGGGTGATTGGTACTGAAAGGGATAATGTGATCTGTTCATCTTTTTTTGTGTGGGTACCCCTTTTGTTCTCATGTCAGATATTGTTACAAATATCTAACAAGATGGCCAAATTATTTGATCTTCTATTTCTGTGTATGTGGCACAGCGTAAAATAAAATAATTAATTTTAAAATGTTACATAATCAAGAGAAACTACATAATAAAGAGAAACGTAATTATTATATACAAATAAGGTTCCATAAACAGCAGCTGCTTTCATTACAGATAGAGCAGAAAATCTACCTCCAGAGGAAAGAAAGAAATATGCAGAAAAGGTAAGATTTTTAAGATTTATCTTGGTAGATGCCTAGGGTGTCTGTGGCTTAGGCGTTGCAAACACACTTCGTAATGCCAGGGTGTCGGGTTTGAACCTAGCTGCGGAAGTTTTTTTTTTTATTTTTTTTTTTTGGGATGGCCTTGGTTTTGACACTGGAACTGAGAACTGACCTTTCAGCAAGCAGTGGCAAACTACCGAATGTAAAATCGGCCTCAAAAAATTACAACAGTCGTAAAATACTGGAGTTTAATCTGCAACGTCCTGTAAAGTATACAAAACTAGCTTTTAACTAATTTTTTTTTTTTTTCAGTTATAAATTTAAAACTTCACTTGTGCACAAGTAAGATATACACTAGTGCACAAGTAAGATATACACTAGTGCACAAGTAAGATATACACTAGTGCACAAGTAAGATATACACTAGTGCACAAGTAAGATATACACTAGTGCACAAGTAAGATATACACTAGTGCACAAGTAAGATATACAAAAGTTCACTGAGTGCACTCTTTTAATATACAAAATTGCCGACTCTCAAGGTCCATGCTCTGGGGTGTTGGTAGTCATGTCCACCTACAGTCTTATGTCTCAGGAACTTTCAATCATTTCTGACACGTTTAATCATCCATCCCATGATGCCAAACTGTCCAGCATCTTCCTGTCTTGATCCCCCTCTACCTCTCTTCCTGTCCAACTTTTCCATTGTACTCACCAACACACGTCTCATATGATCTATTTTATACACCAGATAAAATTCACCAGCACACATATGTCAAGTGATACAACTCACCAACATGCATATCTAATGTGATTCAACTCACCAACACACATGCTATGTTATACAACTCATAACTCGAACATGTCATCTGATAGAACTCACCAACACACACACATGTCATGTGATACAGCTCACCAACTCACACATATCAAGTGATTCAACTTGCCAACAAACATGTCAAGTGATTCAACTCACCAACTCACACATGTCAAGTGATACAACTCACCAACATGCATATGTAATGTGATTCAACTCACCAACACACATGCTATGTTATACAACTCATAACTCGAACATGTCATCTGATAGAACTCACCAACACACACACATGTCATGTGATACAGCTCACCAACTCACACATGTCAAGTGATTCAACTCACCAACTCACACATGTCAAGTGATTCACCTTCCAAGACACACATTTTATATGATACAACTCACGAACACACACATGTCATGTGATTCAACTCACCAGCACGCATCGCATGATGCAAGTCATCAACCCACACATTCATGTGATGCAGCTCCCCAACCCACACGTTATGTGATATGTTATGATACATTTAAGGACATTAACAGTTGACAGTTCCTCGTATTGTCTCATACAGGTGGCTGTCTGCTTCTGGAAGGCTATTGGGGGAGATGAAGATGAAATTACTGGACTGGATGATTCTGAATAATTAATATACAAGTTATTAAGTATGCCTAATGTTAACTGAATCAGTAAAGGTTGTAAAAAGAAAAAAGGTTGCAGGACACCAAACATTGTAGTTTTTATTACTTGTACACAAATAATACAGATGGCCTGATAGTCTGAGAACCACTGGTTCTTTATGCATCCACACATCTTTATTATGCAGCTGTGGTAGTGCACAGGCCAGAACGTTTGCCTGTCACAGTCAGGTGTTTGTGGGTTGAAATCTCCATCGGGACAGATTTTTTTTCATGAACAGGGAAACCCAGCCTAAAATGAGTGTCAGGGAAAGTTCTAGAAAGTGAATATATCTGGTGTAATGGTGACCTCATCACATCTCTCTTTTAATGGTGCTGTCTGTTCTAATTATACAGGGTGTTCCATGGGTTTCACTACATAGGAAAATAAATATCGCTAACAGCATTATAAGCATAGCAGAATATGTAGCTTCAAAGTTATTTTTCCTTCTGACAGCGCTTTGCTAATGCAGGTTCCACATATGGACAGTAGTCTACAGTTTCATTGCCTGAGCTGCTGAGTTCAGTGCTTGGTGCAGCTCTGTTCGCTTCTTCTTCTTCTTTCCTTTGCTTGAAATAAGTTGTCTATATCAGCAATTTTGTCTCTTGTATAAATTTCACTGTCATCGTTAGTTCATTCAGTGGTCCATAGAGTTTACGTTCCACTGTTGTTCTTTCTGGCTAAAAGGTTTGCCTTAAAATGTCAAATTCGGTGCAATCCTGGAGTACATGCTCTGCTGTCTGGGGCATCTTTCCACAGGTGCACATGGCTGATACGCCTATCTTGAATTTTGTGTACATGTGGTTACGTAATCAGTTGTGTCCTGTTCTGAGGCGGAGGATAATGACTTGTTCTGATCTGTCCATAGTAAAATAGTCGTCTTGTGCTGGGGCTGGTGGTTTTCTGATTGAGTGATTGATTTAAGGATTCTTTTCTTTTGGTGGTATGTGACTGGTACTTTTGCACTTTTGTCACACCGTCTCCTGCCAGTTGATCAGCTTTCTCATTTTCAGGCACTCCACAATATGATGGTACCCACTGCATTACAGCTCTTCACTGAAGGCTAAATTGTGTCAGCAGTGTTTGCAATTCTGGTAGTTTCCTAGACTGGAGGCTCTGTGCACTGTTTTTTTTTCCTTTTCCCTGTGGAATGACTTTTATTTATACTGCAGTTAAGTCGTATTCAATATGGCTAGTAGCCGGTTTACATTTGGGCTAGTGAAATAACGTATGTATTAATAATACTTGTGTAAAGCCAAGTTATCGTGGCGATCCATGGCTTTGGCGCCTCTAGCAGCCTCCATATGCATTTTTACTTGCGCATATTTATGAATTGCACTGGAACAAATTGTTTACCAGTTTTTCAAATGGGATAGTAAGGGATCTTTCATTTGATTTTCACTTGTACAGGAAGGGAGCAAGTATGGGGTGACTCGATTGCAGTAAAGTTGAAATCTTGACTAAGACTGTGCTTAAACTTATTCTTCAGCAATGGAGGAAACTCATTGAAATGTTTTTTTTTTTTTTTTTAAATGGTATATTTCCCCCTGTGAATAAAAACTATGAAACACCTTGTATTGTTTTGATGTCTCTGTTTTCATTTTGTCTTTTCTGATTGCATTGTCAGTTAGTCAATAATATTTTGGGGTTTGCACCACATGCCCGACCCGATGCACTTCATGGTACAAAAAGGGTCCTTGCTTACAGCGTTTATATAATTATTGTACTCATGGTATCCCATGGATGCCTAGTGAATATAACAATTGACCATGCATGTGTTTTCCTCATGCATTGAATCATTCCTGTACATGTTAGTATTATAATTTTTAACATTGTTGTCATAGCATACTAAACAGGTATCTGTTGTGATATTTGTTCATGATTTTTGCTTTGAGAGCCCAATAAAATATTGGACAGTTTCTTTGTATCTCACATAACTTCATTTTGTTTCCCTCATGTTAAAATTACTAATTAGTGGTGACACTCCTTGTTTGATAAACTCACCAACACACATACAAAAGCACACACACACATACCCCCCCCCCCCCTTTTTTTACAAACACACACACACGCACAAATTTGTTTTGTTGATGTAACTCTGCAGTAATGCACCTGACAAGATACAGAAAACTGCATTGTATTGTTTGCGCTCATTATCAAATAATTAACTGTTAGCATATTTGTTAGTCCTTTCTGTGAGGGAAGGGAGGTTAGCAAGATCATTATAGTAAATGCTTAGTTATCACCTTTGATCATTGCATTAGAATAAAATTATATGAAACAGGATAGGTGTTTGTTGCTTTATGTCATGGTTTGTGTTGATAGCTGTTGCTTTATCTCACAGCTTGTGTGGATGGTTGTTGCTTTATGTCATGGTTTGTGTGGGTGATGGTTGCTTTATGTCATGGTTTGTGTGGTTAGTGGCTGATTTATGTCATGGTTTGTGTGGGTAGTGGCTGCTTTATGTCATGGTTTGTGTGGATGGTTGTTGCTTTATGTCACAGCTTGTGTGGATGGTTGTTGCTTTATGTCATGGTTTGTGTGTGTGGTTGCTGCTTTATGTCATGGTTTGTGTGGGTGGTTGTTGCTTTATGTCATGGTTTGTGTGGGTGGGTGTCTGCTTTATGCCATGGTTTGTGTGGGTAGTGGCTGCTTTATGTCATGGTTTGTGTGGGTGGGTGTCTGCTTTATGTCATGGTTTGTGTGGGTGGGTGTCTGATTTGTGTCATGGTTTGTGTGGGTGGGTGTCTGCTTTATGCCATGGTTTGTGTGGGTAGTGGCTGCTTTATGTCATGGTTTGTGTGGGTGGGTGTCTGCTTTATGTCATGGTTTGTGTGGGTGGGTGTCTGATTTGTGTCATGGTTTGTGTGGGTAGTGGCTGCTTTATGTCATGGTTTTTATGGGTGGTGTCTGTTTTATGTCATAGTTTGTGGGTGTCTGATTTGTGTCATGGTTTGTGTGGATGATTGTTGCTTTATGCCCTGGTTTATATGAATGGTCAGGTCTTGGTCAGATATGACTGAGCCGCCATATAACAGTAGCCGGTACTATCTATCTTCTGTTAATGCTGAGTATTGGGCGGCATATACCAGCCTTACATCCCATATTGTGTCTATGGTAACATAGCAAAAGTATTGTTACATAAACATTTTATATCTGAGACAAACACCATTCTTCTTCCTCCTCCTCCTCTTTTTTTTTTTCTCCTCTTCTTTTTCTTCTTCCTTCTTGTTTTCTTCTTCTGCTTCTTCTTCTTATCACAGCCTTTGCGGTTTATTACTTCAAATACCACATACTCCATTTATCTCTCTGACTGACCTTTTCTTTCCACTATATGACTCCACATGGTTGTAGGACTGCCTGAATATTATCTCTCTACAATCTTTTTTTTTGGGGGAGGGGGAGGGGGGGTTTTGCCTCATGCACACACACACACAAACCCAACATTCACACACACGCCCTTCCAAATAATTTACATATGAGGACATTGTTGTTGTTTCTTGGCGATGTTTATTTTTCTTTCATTCTTTACCAAGGTATTAGGAAAACACAACAATTATGTAATGAATGTAGCACATTTACGGGTGGGTTTTACCTTAGCTACAAGGTTTAAACTTGTACAGGTAAAGTCCTGGAAGTAAAAGCGGTCGGCATGATGTTGACCACATCACCCACGAATGCCTATTGGTCTATAAAATATAAGCCTAGCACTATATGCCCAATACGGCTTGGAAAAGTTCCTTTTGAAATTATACTCAACAAATGGAGGCCAGAAGATGCTCGCCTGTTGGCCCAGACTGTTTGTGTTTTAATCCCTATCAGGGCAGCATTTCTTCAAGATTGGTCTTGGCTTTCATTGGAAGTATATTCTCGGTCGATGAAAGAATAGATTGGGAAATAGAAACAACAAGCCAGTATACTTGTATACCAACTGAAACGGTTATTAACACATCCAAACAAGAACGATCGCAGGAAACGATTATAAACAGCGTGTTCATACGAACACTGTGCTACCAGTGCCAGAGTTGGACATTATAAAATGTTAACAAGATCAAATGATTTGGTCATCTCGTTAGAATGCAGCCACAGCTACCAACACAGGCCGTACACTTAAAAAAAAAAGCCTGATTTGATAGCAAGAGGCCACCCAGAACGCGGCCTATGAGAAGATACACTGGTGACAGTAAACACCTTCTATGTCGACACCGAACGATAATAGCCATTGCTCCCCAACAAGTAACAAATCGTCAACTGTTCCTTGCCACGGCGCCTAACTGCAAAAGTATAAACTGTTGATGATGATGATGACTTGCCATTATGCAAGTCTGGGGTCTCAAAAGTACTTCAGAAGTTGGCCTTGTGTTATGAAGTTTGGGGATTCTATTTCGGAAGTCCAGGGCACAAACAAAGGTCGCAGATTGAAAAGAGGAAGGTCTTGGATGGCGCAAGCTGAAGATAGACATGTGTGCAGGCTTGATAACATTGGACGCGCTGAGGGGTGGGTCAGAATGTCCCTGCAAAAGTCAGACCTGTAGGGTTCTGATCACACTGGGCCGTGAGTGCAGGGACTAGCCAGCAGGCTCTGCAGAGTCAAAAGTTCTTCACATTTCCCACGCATTTGATGTGATCATTTTTACAGAGAGGCAAACAAAGTTCGTAGGAGTTCTTAGCAAAAGCGAATCGACGTCGTTTAGAGCAACAAAGCCTGGCATATAACACTGCAACATCAAGTTCAAGAATGGAGGTGGAGGCAGTTACTGCAGCCTTCCGCTGGCTTCAGAATCAGCTGTTCACACATGCCGTGATTGTAACTGACACACAGAACATGATGTTGAGAAAGGCGGAGACCGGTATGCTCCGTGAGAAGGGGCAAGCATCGCTTCAGAGGTCCCGGGTACTTGGCATCCTTTGGATATTTTCTCCAGGCAATGCCGGTGTATGAGGAGATAAACAGGTAAATAGACAGGC